TAGAAAGATGTAACAGATGTGCAATTTGAATAAACTTTCATACAACTGTATGTCTCTTGAGAAATAAAACTGAAGCTAACGTAATTTCAATCGAACAGAAAGAAGTAATCTTCTATTGTAATCTCCTCTATTAAGTGATAAATACGAAAAATGAATAAGTTCACGGAGAAAGTATTGAAGAAAGAGGAGATCGGTTGTTTATTGGGCAACGGCCGATTATACTGGCCGAGGGAGGTCTCGATCTCGCGAGAGATCGTTAGAATTGACAGGAAGTGGCGAGGGCTACCTGGTATCGACAGGCCTCAACGATCAGGCCGTCACCGTCTATCACGGTTTCGGAATCGAGCTCGGAGTTACATTCGCAAAATCTCCTTGCGAAAGGTAGATCGGCATAGGCTGTGGGAATTTCGTCAGCCCCGACGGCATTATCATTTATATACAAGCAATTTTGTTGCGGTACAATTAACAGTATACGGTTTAAATTTGAATTTGACTTGCATAAAACGAAAAATAATGTAAATCGTTATATTCAACGAAATATTGTTTTGCGACAATATTAACATTTACTCTTTTCAATATTCAGAACGAAACAAAAGAGTTAATTTGTGGAATATATACCTGGTTACACGAAAGCTTTTCAATGCTGTATTGAATTTTTATGGTCATAAATGCTTTTCCTCGAGTTTACTTAAGTTATTGTCGCTTTTGTGCTGAAACTTTTCTTTCTTCTTCATCGTAGTTTGTATCGCTTTGAATGATAAATTTCAAGTTTTCATAGCAACAATAAATGTTACTTGGAACGTAATATTCTTCTTTGTAACATAAAATTTCCGAGATAAACAAGCACTATTTTATTATATTAAACTGACAAAGCGTATCATTTGAATAATATAAATAAACTTTTATTCTAAAGTTAATATTGTTACTGATATTTATAAACTTAATAATGTTGTTCCGTAGTTGAGTTTTGTCTCTCGTATAAATAGTATTTATACAAGGAGCAAACGTCAACCGCAGAACAATTGGTTAATAGAAATTTTATAGAAGTATAACTCACAAGAAGTAAAAAAAGACTCACGCGTTCTGAGGTTCTGTTTCTAATTTTCTACAGAAATAATAAATCTTCTCGGCAAACAAAATATAAAAATGATAAATCCAATTTCAAAGAATTTTAGAGAAATTTAGACGGTGATTCACAAAGTTACGGGCTCACTGTCGTTTATTGTTTCAAGTTCGTGATCTTCCATCTGCGCGCTACACTTTTCCATATATAAAATAATCTATCTGTATCTCTCGAATAATAACATTCATTTCCTGTGCGTAATAAGCCCATATACCATTGAAATTAAAATCGGTCGTATTGTTTTATTTAAACCTAGAAATTTCATGGATTATTAAACCGGAGAGAAAAATGTACATAGAACATATATATCCTCCTGTAATACAGGGGAGAGAAATGCGCGAAGGAAGATACCACTTCAATGATATTCTAGTGGTGTCACAGCCATAATAACTAATTAAAATTTAATATCTGGTGGAATTTCGAATTTGAACGCAAATTCGAAAGCGGGAGCGGAAACGGCCGGAGTTCTTGCGAATGCGAATGCGACGTGATATTTTCGATGCAGTAAAGCTACTGCATGCGCGACGTTTATAGTCGAGTTATCTCGACATTTCGAAATTCTATGTTTCCGGATTTCTATGTTTATGGCAAATTTATAACTCGAGCTTACATCGCTCTGCGTCATTTTACATCGAAATCAAATTGAAAATCAAACGGAAAATCATTAAAGTGTAATACGATCGTTAAAGTCCTCAGAGCGGCGGATCGAGGTAAAACTAGTAATTCGTTATATAGTTTATACCAATCGGATTTTCAGCGATCTTCTCATTAAATTCTCATTCAATTTCACTCATCTGTTGATTCGTAAACAGCTTGCTAATAGCTTTATTATATTTTACGTGGGCGCTCCTATATCGATACATAACTGCGTTTGTTGCTTCAAATATAACGTGCAGTTTTATTTTCTACCTTCAATACAATTGCTAGTATTACAGCGGTATTAGTAAATTATTGATAATAATGTGTTTTTGTTCTTGGTGTTATTGCCAATATTAAAATAATATTAATAGCAGTAATAGAATCGAGAGTCACAGAATACTTTTTGACCCATATGGTATATTCTTACACATTCAAAGCCAAACAATTAATTATTATCTTTGCTAAATAAAAATCTAGAATAATATGAAAAATACCACCGTATGCTATGTCAATATATATACTCGGAATGTTAACGGCATTTAGTACTCTTATCATCATTACAATTACTATCGTAATCTATATATGTGCCGCCGCACATAAACGCGGAAATGGAGACAAGTAATGAAAGGATTAAGTCGCGTATAAAGCGCTTTATCCGGACAGAGGCATTCGCTTTGTGCCTGAACCGTAAAGCCTTGCATTTAACGGAATGCAGCGTGTTGCTGCTGCCGCTGCTGCTGCCGCTGCTTCTAGCTGCTGCTGGTCGCGACTTCACATACACCCGCGAATGCATTTGCTTGGCGCGGCTTCCGGAATTATACGTATTTTCACATGGCGTGTGTGATGACGTCGCGCTCGTAAACCCGCTCGTAACAATCAGTATTTGTGTAAACGTACGCGGTCTCCCGCTATTATTTCCGTGTTTGCGTCGTGATTATTAAACTTGCGGAGCGTCAAGGATCAAAATAAACCGCCGTGGACCCGTTCGAGAATTTGGAACTTGGCTCCGCTCTCTGAACCATCTTATCGTCGCGCGATGACGAAATTAGCAGCAAGAAATGTATAGAAACTACGACGTCCCCCGAAAGTTTATGAGTTATTCATGCGCAATGAGAGATACAAATTAATATTCGCAGCTGTGTATATGTAAGGAAAAAGCTAAGCTGCGCATATATTCAACAGCTATTGACTATTCGAGTATTGTTAGACTATGTTGTACTGTAATACATATAAAACAATTTTATGTAAAATTATTATTAATTATAATTAATAATATAATCGTTATAATTATGTATTATAATTATAATTAATAATTAAGTAATTGTATGTTTTAATTATAATTAATTTTATGTGAGAGTTAAATACGCCAAAACGTTAGATATGCCAAAGTGCATCCATCATGATCTCTTTTGAATGTATATTTAACGATATATACCTAAAATCAATTTTCTCTTCATAAATGTGAAGAGAACTGACTGACAAGCACCTTCTAGAGATATGTTCTCCGGAGCACGAATAATAATAATAATTTTATGTAAATTATGTTTCAGGAAAGAAAAATAATATTTTTCTTCTGCTGTAATAAAAAAGTGAGATGTAAAACTCGATGACAAATAAAGAAATATCTATTTCCTCCGTTAAAGACTGCCTTTTATGTCAGTATAACAACGATGCTCGCTCGGGAAATACTCGCGAGGGCAACACGCGAGCTGAGCGGCCTTGTTTCCTCGAGAAATGTTATTATGAAGCTTGGAAGACGATACAGCGCGGTGACGTGATTATGAAACACGCGATGGACCAGATTTCACATGGACCGGGGATGCCGCGAAACATCGATGCGAAATACCGCGGCTCGAAGTATCGTGAGTAGTACAGGTGCGCTTTAAATCCACGGAATTTACGTTCGCTCGTTCGTTTCTCGCGGAATATCTCGCAAAACGAGAGAAAGAAGAAAAGAAGAGAGAAAAATATCCGGATCAAAGAGTCACGAGAATTAAATGCAGAGTCCTATGCGGCATGTTTAAACGGGCTCTCTTTGCCGTCACATTTTTTGCGATTTATTCTGTGACGTGTACTGATACTTGTATAAATATATTTAAAAAAACGAGTATATTTATTAAAATGTGAATTTGTTGAAACGAATACGTTCGCGCGTATTTACGTGCAGCAGTCTCGCGCGGGGAATAGTAAACGCGCAGTAAAAAGTTGTGCGAGAGCGTTTTTGAGACGAGAAACATTTTGTGGAGCGTCTATGAGAAGAAAAAGCGTTTCTTATATATATTATAATGACGCGTTGACGTATTTAAAAATAAAATTCGGCAGAGGTTTTGTCTAATGAGACAAAACAGATCTAAGACAAATTTATTTATTTAGAATTTTTATAGTGTAATCTTTATAGTGTAACTACGTTAAATGTAGTATTTACCAGTTTCATTATTTATTTTTAAGGCTTAAGATATCAAAATTTAATTTCGAATTATAAAATTACATTATAAAGATTATTATTAAAATTACGTAAATTTATTTCTACCAAAAGAAGTTATCCGATATCGTATACGTATGTATGTAACGTTCCTTAACGAAATCATAGTTACCAGATCTCACGTTTAGTTCAAACGATAAATTTATGAAAAATGAAAATTAAATTCATTGGGTGATTTTTTAAATAATACTTTGTGCATCTTACAAGTTTTGCAATTTTCGACAGATTAAATTCTATAAACACAACAAATTTTTGTGCAATTTCTAAAACCGTCTAAAACGTTTTAGCATATTTTTAATGTTAGTGAACTATAATGTGAACTAATAAATAAATTAGTGAATTTCTTAAATAAAACTTTCATTTTTTTATAAACATAACGTGAAGATCATAATTTTCAGATATTGCTGATGGCATGCGTCATCGCATTTATATATTTACAAATTTTATTTATAACAGCAAGAGTATAAATGTATCTCATGTAGCTGTCATATCATATAATAAAAGCACTTTTTCATTATAATTTTGTATTGTCAAAAAATCATTTCTGTCACAAAAATACAATATTTATATAACATATTGTATTTTGCAGCTTAATTGTATTCGACTCACACTATATGAATATTGCAATACTTGGAATAATTTCACTTATAATTTTATCATTTTTTAGAAAAAGATAAATCGGAGACCATCGTTACTTATCTCTTGCAATTTTAATACAAAACTTCTGATAATTAGTTTCTCTTAAAAAAAAATTACCTTCTTCTTCCATGTTTGCGGATGAGATTTTCTCAGGCTTGGCCTCAATCCAAATTGGTTTCCTCCTACGGGTCGAGTATCATCGACGGCGCGACGTCGCTTTTCTCGTGCACTTCACCTTCTCCGCGACATGTTTATCCGTTGCGCGTTGTCTAAATCTCCCAAATTTACCATCCAAGAAAGCGATTCGATTTCGCGCTACTCGTCCCCGCGCACATCGACTCCGGTACGTGCGGATCGCAGAGATGAATCCAATATACGCGTGTAAATATTTACCCCCGGCGTCGGGTCCAATCAAATTTTTAATGCGCGAATTTTCGCGGTTTCCGCGAGGTGTGCAGCTCCGTTCGACGGTATCATTATTAATTATTTCCTTTGTCCTCGATTCGTTTTCCCTTTTATATTTTTTCTTTGCAAAAGAAAGCGACAAAGAAACGATTCGCGCAACGCATATCGGCGAGAAGTTATACCGCCGGAATTAAGCTTTTTGCTAATCGTAAATCAAACGCGAATTAATTCTCGAGCTAGATTTCAGGGATTTAAATTTACTACGTAAATGGAGATCGAAACTTGATTTATCATACGATTTACGTTACTTTACTTTCTTTTAAATGAGCTTTTTCCGAGCTGAGATTTTCCACGGACTTTCCGTCCAACCGCTTTCGCAGCCGCGAAGCTTGCAACTGGTGGCCGAATTCCCACGTCGGGATTGCCGAGACGCTTCCCTACAATCTCTTCGCGGTAACTCCGTTGTAAGCTGCGCGAAAGCTTGTGTCATTCGCAACGCTTTAATCCGGGCATAATCGTCGGGAGAGGCCACTCGCGATTTCGAGGCGTACGCGCGTTCATCCCCATCTTTTGTGACTGTAATCCTCTTTCATAAATACCAAATTTGAGAAATCATTTTATTAATTGATTTTACGATACGAAAAGCTCGATTGTATCAAGCTACCACAGCTGTTCTGAAACTGATAAAATTTGATAATTATATACTTTTTCTTACGTAATTCTAATGAGAAAAAATTCTCATATTTCGTAATACTTAAAAAAATTTTTCATATTTCGAATTTATAAAAATTTGACGAAAAACGTCTCATCATGTATACAATGAAATGTATAATTATAAGTGCATTCTTTTATTTTACGTATGTACAAATTGTAACAAATATATTTGCTCTAGTAATTATAAATTATAAATTGACAGGTTACACAGAAAAGAGTACAAAAATATCATATAAAACACTTTTTAATAAATGATATATACAATAATTGAAAAATGAGATTGACACATACAATTCCGCTTATATAACAGTGTTAAACGCAAACTGATTATTATTCGTCTGTTAATCAGAATTCGTCATCCACCAGATATTTATCATAATTTCATTTACTCATTTTGCGATATTGTAATAATATTACTATAATAATTTCTCACAAACATATCAAGATATTTAATTACATTTACATATAAAGAGAAAAAAAGAAGGAAAACTGAAGTTAAAATCTTCTGTTGTTGAAATTTGTCTTGCATCTCTTTCTTATATATGTAAAACGTTTGTATCAGTCGAAATATTTACAATCGGTATGTCTAATTTCTCAAATTTCTCTATTATTTCCAAATATCTAGAGATATCAATTTTTCAAAATTTTCATCTTATGAATTTCTGCAGCGTTTATCGCAAATATTGCATTTTGCTATGAGCTTTTCTTGTAGTGCGAGATATCGCCATAAGTTACGAGACATTCATGATAATTTTTCTTTTGCTGCTTGCGAATTTGTAGCAGTCCGTTGATCATCAGCGTTTGCACTTGTGTTGTCCTCTTCAGTTACTGATTATTGTATCAGAATGTCTGTTATTTTTTTCATATATTTTTAAATACTAAGAAATTTGTTTTATTTTTGTTAAATAGAAAATAAATTAAACGCATAGATTTTAGCGTTTAAGAAAAAATATGTTCTTTATATTAACAAATGAGTGAGAAAAATGCTTATTTCATTTCCAATATTTCAGCTGTATACATCTATTTAATGTATTACTTATATACCCATCTGTGGTCATATGATGTGTATATATATATATACATATATATATATATATATACACTTTATATATACTTTATATATATATATATATAAAGTATAAATTCTTAAAGAAACTCCATTTCTCGCTCAATACCGACAAATTTAAGTTGCTCCGTTGGTCCATATCTAAAAATTATCATGATTTATACAGTTTCCATCACGCAATTGATATATCATAATTAATACTACTTCACAAGTAATATACCTATAATCGAAAAATAATTCTTCACCAGGCTGAATTGCTCTCTTGGCAAAAATACCTATTCTGTGGTCACCGTTCACCATCATTACTTTTGCATAACAATTAGGATTTATCGAATGATTGGCGAATCTTATTTTATTCCCCTTTCTTGTTGCATCAACGACAAAATCTAGGAAATATCCTTTAATCTATCTTGCTCTCAGTTATCTACCGTATTCACCACATTTGCATCGTACTCACCATTGTTGAGATTGAATAGAAAACTGCACATGTATTTGTCATACACTTTTCCTCGTCTGCCGGCTTCATCTTGACTAATAATCTCACCACAATACTCGGAAATAAATTCATTCTTCGCCGCCGATTCTTTTAGGAAAATCCCCCAACCCGCTACATCCGAAGGTGCCATCAGAAGATGCTTGTCTGCATAATAACATTTTCTTATTTTTTTTTCTCCTCTAAACAATGTGGATATGTTCAAAAATTTATTAATCTTACGAAGACCACGTTGAACGCTGACATTCTTGCAGGATATTTTAGTGATGTGAAATTGATCAGCGCCACACGTTTGACAAAGATCCGGGTCGCATTCCCTCACGGCTAAATAACACGGGCATTGTTTCGTGTTGCACTGGGCCTTACATCTACAACCAGGAAATCGATTCTGGCACTCGCTGCTACACTGACAGAACTTTTCGCAAAAATTCTGCGCCTGTATGCAGGGACACGAGTTATCGCACTGGCGACCCGGGTGATCGCAAGGTGCGAAATTATGAACGTGATTAGCGCCTATATCGAAACGAAACATTAATTAGAAATTGAAAGAAAAACATACCTTGAGCTCGAGCATTTTTCGAAACTGATCAATGAAACGTACCAGAGTCTTTTTTAAGTTGTATCTTTCTGCAATGCATGGACCACAAGCGGTGCTTCTTCTTCTTCTTTCGCGGCGGCGTGAAGTCCTTGAGATTTTCTATCGCGGGAATGTCCGAAGCCTCTTTCTGCGCAAATTCGTACACCTCCTGGCAAGTTTTTGTCAACATGATTTGCGCTAACGCGCACGGATTGCCGGGGAAGGCTTTGTGCAGAGCCCGGAACACGCTCTGCTCCGAGCCTGTCCACGAGAATTCGCTTTCAGTCTTGATTCGTTTGCCAATCCCTAACAGCGTGAATGGCGTCTGATTTTCCGGCTGCGCCTGATCCTCCATCATTTCCTCAGATTTCGAGTTTTTGTTAACGTTCTGCTTGAAGTCTGATTTAAAGCATAAAATTCTTAGAATTTTATTCGAATATGTACAGTCGTGGACAGATCGACACATTTTTTTTTTATAGGTTTCAAAACGCACCAATATTTTGCAAATGCGAACCACGATTGGTGTTATTACTGTCTCTAGACTAAAGATAGCATATCGTAGTTCGCATTTGCAAAATATTAGTTACCTATAAAATACATATTATGTATATTAATTATATATTAGAAACCTATAAAAAAACAAAGTGTCGCAGCCGATCTGTCGACTGCACATGCAATGTGACTATACATATATTATATTCACCCTGACAACTGCCTCCTTGACCGTACTTATTGCTGTCGTTGCTATCCTCGCTGCTCGCTTCGTTACCAGAATCGACGCTCGCTTGTTTCCGTACCTTCCTAGGACCACCGCGTTTCTCGTCGCCCTCCTCTTCTTTCGTGTCCGCTGCCTGTGCCGCCAGTTTCTCCTTCATTCCCTCCTAAACGTAAAGCTTATGATGTCAAATCTGTACTTGGGGAAATATGCATTCCGTTGAAGCACAGCGTAACACGTGGCGTACCAGGTGCATGTAACATTCTGTCCCGCATGGCTCCGCAAACGGTTTCAAATCGGGCCCCTTCCGCTTCAGCAAATTCGGACCTGGATGGCAAGCTTGAAGACCTACAAGCAACATCATAAACTCACTACGAATCAGTACTCTCGTCGGCTAATTCGGCGTAGTTGAATGGAGAGAAATTTAGTGGACACAGCGATGAAACGATGAATGAAATATGATATGCGGATGAGCCCTTGACGATGTCTCTGTGCTAAACAAAAAAAAGCTTCCGATCGATAATGCATTAGTTTGTATGCAATGTTGTTCTTTACCTTGCGGCGAGGTCCCCCTGGCTGCTACGATAAATCAGGAATCACAAATTATTGTAATTAATAAATTTTCAATTTGGAAACACTTAAAATATTGTACAACACTTGTAAGTTGTATTTGTGCGAAGTATTTCTTGTGTGTTGTTAATTCTCTATTATCTCTATCTCTATTAAATACTATCTATTATACTCTAATAAATAATTAAATACTATATATTATACTTATACTTTATCTCTATTAAATACTAGATTAATTAAGCAAGTAGATAAGTATTAATGCTAATTTTTTTTAGGATTATACTTCACAAAATACAACTTAAATAATTACGAGGATCACTTTATTGCGGCATACTCACGATGTAGGAAGCAGTCGTACTTGAAGCATCTCCTGCAGAACAGGGTATGGAAAGAATGCATCGTTTGTTCCCTGGGTACACTTCTCGCGTTTATACCGTCTATATTGGGCGTGCATTCTGGCGGTAAAACATTTGGATCGGATCTTTCTGTCAGTTCAATGTACTTTTCTTTCAATTCCTCGGGTCTTCCTTTATCGGGAAACATGCTCGATATTGCCTGAAAATGATAATTACAGAGCAATTACGTTTACAGGATTACAACTAACGTTGCATTTATTTGTGGTATTCGATTTCCCTACATTAAATATATGCATCGATGGAAACGGAGTAGCCGCCGTCTTTCCACCTTCACTTTTTTCTGTCTTGACTTCAATCTTTATTTCAACGTCTTTCTTGTCGTTTTCCTTGTGATTCTCTTTCTCCTTTCCTTTCTTTATCTGGTCCCGGTCCTTGTCATCTCTCTCATAATTTGCCAGAGCGTTCACCAAATCGACGAAGATGGAATCGTCCATGAAACCGGATTCCCTGTCGCCATGGACCTGCAGCCAACGATGTCAGTTAGACAACAAAAATCACATCCGCACAATCGCCAAGTCCCGAAACACAATGGATGTAGTTAGCCTTGAGCGGTAAGAAACTGACGACAATCGTAATCGATTATTCTCTTCACATTTGATTGAGATTGATCGATTTCTTACGGGTTAAGGCTTACTACATCTATTGTGTTTCGGGACTAATGCAGATTTTAAATAAAGTTTATCAATTTATCCACAAAAATCCCAACTTAAGGTATCATTTTAAAACCTCAGGGGTGGCATGACCCCTTAAGATTTAAGAAAATTGGCCAATTATAATCGATTATTCTTTTCACGTGAGATAAATAATCTACTGTAAGCGATCAATTTTCTTAAATCTTAAGTCATAAGTCTCATTGTAGACGCCGCTTAACGCACGTCTCGATTACCCTCCGTACCTTCCCGTCGTAATTCTTTATAAGCTCCTCGATGAAGGTACCATCTTGATCCAGTATCTCGTCGCCCATGTAAGGAATGTTGTGCAAAACGGTCTCGTCCTCCACCATGAAGTTCTGCTGAATCGGCGCCCACGTATACATGGTCGGTATAGGTGTGACCGCGTTGATTATCTTCACGGGGCAGCTCTGCACGTCGCCGTCGGGACCGGTGATCTCGGCTTTCTTCATGCAAGAGAGATGAGGCGGGATGTCCTGCACCGCCAGCCACATCGCCTTCCCGTCCGCCCAGCGCTTCTGCTCCGCGACGAGGAGCTCTGTGCAACAAACGATATCGCGAATATCATTCATCGTGAATACTGAAGTACGGAGAGACGCGGGGTGCGCTAACCCCATCGGCGCGAGCGGCGCTGTTGTTATTTTCGAGCGTCACGGCGGCGCGGTTACTACTTGCCTGTCATGACTTTACGATTCTGGTTCCACGCGATCTTCACCTCGTCCGCGCGCTTGTAGCGTTTCATCTGCCGCAGTCGCATGTATTCCGATTTCACCCTCTTCCTCCATTCCGCCGTAACTTTGGCTTTCGACATAGCGACGTGAACGCGCGATCTTCGAGCGGAACTAACAAACGCTGCCATACATCGATATACGCATCCCCTTCGTCTTTTCTTGTCTCTCGGCAGACCCTCCCCCCGAGCTCACGAAAATAAAATAAATTCGCGATACGGCCGGTGTCAACTACAACACATCGATCGACGTCAAACTGTGGTCAAAATCGCCATTTTTGACTTGGCGAAGCGTACGGAAGAAGGTTACGACCGCAAAACCAGATGGCGTTGCTATTCAAGTGTAGATGCATGCGCCAAATGATGTTGGCGTCGCACACGCGAATAGCGTTTCCCCATTGGTCGCGAGGATCGCCCTTCCTTCACGCGAGCTGGCTCTCTCCCTCTGATCCCTGGGTCTTTCATGTTCGTTTCGTGCGCTCGCGATTGCGTGGGGAACGCGCTAGTGTTTTCCGGTCGTTGCGTTTATCGAGTATATTGAGTTAGGTTAAGTTATGTTCAATTTCATTCTTTGACGTGCGAGCCTCTAAGTAAATGGGCGCGATTGAACTGTATGTACATTCGTGTGTGCTATGACTCGGTGGGACGTATCGCCTTGTCGCAGAGTTTACGAAATCCGGAGCAGCCTTGCCTCGAAACGGTGGGCGCAAAGGGATAGAAGGTCTTATTGTTGATCGAGACAGTTGAATTGATTATTCCAGTGAGATTATATGAGTGTTCAAGGAACTGTGTATTTTTACTCGAGGCCTCGACAAAGTACTATTAAAGACCGACATTTTATGGAAATTTACTTGACTGCCAAAACCTGAATGGTTAGTTCATGATACAATATCAATTTGATTTGTTATTTTATTCTGAAGTTTTATAATTAAATACATACATATAATATAATGTTATATATATATATATATATATATATATATATATATATCATGATATTCGACTTTTATTCGAAGCTGCACTTTTATTGTTATTATCCGTGTTTGATTATATTTATATAAACAATAAAAATATATCTTTTTAAGGAAACACGTACTTTCGCAGCAATTGCTGCGTAATATTTTTGCATTGTAAATATATATGCTTATTTAACGCATCTATATTTATAATAAAATATAAATTTAATTATTTGCATAAGCTAATTACTAAGGTATTTTGTCGATGATTGAAACAGTTGATGAAACCAATTCTTCAATTATTCCTGAGTCCATTGAGCCTACTTGAGACTACAGCCACGAAAATTTATCCAGAACTGGCGATTTTTAACAGTACCTTGTCAGTGCTCGAAGGAAGATAACGAATGACATTTGGATCGCACACATATTTCGTTGAATAAAATATTTTAAAGAAATAACGGAGCAACATTATATTTTGGTAAGACATTACAAATAATAATGTATTATTCTTAAGAAAATCTTCCCTCATTTTTACTTTATTATAACATTAAAAACAAATTCTTATCAAATTAAATTATTTAAAAAATTTTTTTTAATTTACAAGAAAGTTGGAAATATACTACCAGAAGTAAAATATTTCCATATGTCAATTGATAATTAAATGGATTTATTTTAATATACATTCTTACATGTGCACATATACTATCTTCCTATTATAAAAAAGTACGTTTTTTTCTAGCTAAAAAATTTGTTATTTTTACATTGCTAAAAAAGTTATGAAGACTGGAATTAAATTATTCTAATGATAGAAACATATCATCTATGTGTAACACCTACACAATTGTGCTATAATAAGAATGCATGAATATAAATTATTGATCATGAATGTAATTATTTATTTATGTAGAATCATATTTTTGTTTAAAAATATTTTTATTTAAAAAAAGATGCTCTTAGATTAATTAATAAATTTGTAAAATTGAAAAATATTTTTTTGTTAGGAAATTCTTTTATAGAAAAAAATATGATTGAGAGAATAATTTATTTTAATGTAAAAAGGAAGAAATTTATTTTCGCTGTTTGAATACTTTAAATCTCGAAGATAAATGTATTTACAATTGATTTTATACGCTTAATATTATCGGTTTTCGAAGTACGTAACGTCGATTACCCATTAGATTAGAGGATATATGCGATCTAATTTTGCTATCAAGTCGATATTGCGCAACGTATCTGACGAACATACACGCTTCTTCGAAGAAACGTTCACCAATTGGTGAAAATAGAGTGACATAGAAGAGGCTCGGTGGCAAATGTAGGAGCGCGTCGAATTTTCAGACTATATTCCACGAAGTAGTAGACGTCACCACTATGCGGTGCCGTCGTTATCGTCTGCCGTACCGGTCCCTGCCAAAAATGTTTTTCTACGAATTCCCATTTCGATATACAGACCAGAAGTCTCCCAATGTAGAATTCTTATATATTACACCTAATGATTAAAAATACATTTTTATTGACACTAACCGACTACAATTCGTAAGAATATTATATCGATCTAGTGTTGGTGGACTTTGGAAAGGAAATAATGTTACATAAAGAAAATTAAAAGTTTATAATAAAATTTCCTTTTTTTTTTTACGAAAATTAGACATACAAATTTGAAAATCTGTCTCGATAAAACAATGATATTTTCTTCATTTTTTGCCAACCGAAGATTATCGGAAGTGAAGGAGAGGCTCAATATACGATCGAGTACGGCATAAAAAATTTTATTTTGAACGCTTTTTTTAAATACTTTATGCTCGGCTTTTGATAAAAGAATGTCGCATGATATTTTCAAAAAATGTAATACAATATTTATATTTTATATACTTACAATATTTTTTTGTAAATGTGTACACATAATATAAATATATATATACGAATAATCAACTTAATAATTTTGCTATTTATTATGCTAATAGCAGCTTAATATGAATTAATATTTCATTGTTTATTTCAGACTGGAGTGCTATGTTGATTGCGGTGATTCAGTTGCGAGCATACGTACATGATGCTGAGAATGGTGTGTCCAAAATGCCATCATCGCTTTCCAGTACTAGGATGCTGTTTACAGTGCAACGATGAAATTAACCAAAAGAAAATGAAGGAGAAAGAGGAGAAGAAACAAAGAAATGAAGAAGAAAAGAGAGAAAAAAAGGAAAAAGAAGTAAAGAAAAAAGAAGAAGACGAAGAGATAGAAGAAGAGGAGGAAGAGGAAAAAGAAGAAAAAGAAGCGAAAAAGGAAGAGAAGATAGCTGCTAATACGATCCGTTCGACGACAACCTATTACGTTAGTAGCCTCCCAGTGTCGCATGGCTACACCAACGGCAGCAGTTGTTTTATAAATCCATCCGAAGAGCTTCATGAACCCACCACCATCTTTCAGTCGCGTGCGGTCAACGGCGGCTCCAATGTTGAAATTACCGGTTCCGATACGCTGGAGCTCTTCTACGACATACAGACGTCGTCGATGAAACAGAATCATCACCATCCGCTGTTAAGACCGCCAATGTATCGATCAAATGACCCCTTCATCGTGACCGAAAATCTTAACTACGAGATAGCACCTTCCGAGCAATATGTCGCAAATACATGCGAACTCACTGGCGGCAGCGTTACCATTGCCACACCCGATACACAGTCGGGTGGTCGCCTGATACAGAATACGGAGGCCGAAATTCTGATGCAAGCCCCGCAAATCAAGCCGAAGCTCACGGGCGGCGGTTGCCTGGTGCAGAAGAAACTGTCCGCCGAGGATGAACGATCGACAACGTCCAGACACACGAAAAACTTCGCGTTCGTCAACAATAACGCTCATCGGATGTTCGTCACGTCTCCCAACGGTTATTCGGAATTGCCTGGGAACGTAAGGGTGCTGTCGTCCGGGACGATACGAGACGATGAGAATAACGAGGTGGCGAGCGCCGGATCGCGGCAGCGACGGGCACCGAGCGTGATCAAGACGAGTGACTGCTGCGAGTGCAAAGGTACATTTCAGCAGAACCACTGTCAGTCCCACAGACAGCTGTTCGACACGTCGTCCCTCGTGGACAATCGTGACTCGTTGCTGTTGGAACCCATCGGTAACGGCGTGCAGTTCCGTGTGAACGCCACTGTACAGCTACCCGCGAACCTGGGCCAGTGCACGGTGAACATCACAGCGACGACGACGACGCCGCCGAACCAGGTCGTGGCGATGAAGCTGCCGGGTCGCGGTAGAAACAACTTTCACGGTGGTGGTCTCGTGCAGCCGAACGAGTTGGACTGCGCGAATCATCAGGTGAATCAGGTGGTTGCGTCGATTGGAAACGACAAGAGTCACGGTAACGTCGAGCAAAGGGAGAACGAGGCGTCGATCACCCCGATGTCCTGGCTGTCGACTTCCTGGAGCAAGAGCCTGGACGCGGACGTGAATAGGTTGCGCGAGGTGAAGAGATTGCTGCAGATCTGCGGCTGGTACCACGAGGGTATCAGCTGGCAGCAGAGCGAGAACCTTCTCAAGGACGCGCCCATAGGTCGCTGGCTGATGAGGGACAGCTCGGACAGTAGATACACTTTCGCGGTGTCTGTGAAAACGGCGAGGGGTCCCGCTTCTATTAGGGTGCACTATTTCCTCGAGCACTTTCGGCTCGACGCCGAGCCGAAGTTAGCGTTGGCGATGCCATTTTTCAATTGTCCGATCAAAATGCTGGAGCACTACGTCGAGTACTCGAAGAGGATGGACGAGCATCGCAGGGAGGTGTGGGTCGACTACAGCGGACAACTGTACAGCCAGATCTATCTGACCAGTCCTCTTGTCAAGGAAGTGAGATCGCTGTCGCATCTGGCTAGGCTCGCCGTGAACCGAAGCAAATTGCCCACTGACTGTTTACCGCTCTTAATTAAAAACTACATCAAGGAATACCCGTATACGCTTTGAGTGTGTAATCACACATCACACGATGCGTTTCTCTTCCGATATACATATGTATATACAAACATACATACATATATATATATATATATATATATATATATATATGTTTTTTTATATATATAAGCAAGAATTTATTTTTATATACTGCAGTTCTCTAATGGCTTATTTTTCGATAATGAAAACCGATTATGCCTTCAATTGTACTGATTATAGATATTGTGGAACTGTAAAAACGAATTGGGGTTTGCGAATGTAATTATACAAAGGGACATACAGACATATGCACACGTGTGCGTGCATGGATGTGTTAATGTGTATGTATGCGTGTGTAATAAATAAGTTCTATTGAATAAATATGATAGAATTTATTATAGATATGTATGTACATATATACATACGTTATGTATTTGTATATATAATAAATTCTATTGTAATAATTACTTATGTTATTATCACGCATATTTAATTTAAATAACTTAGTATCTTATTTAAAATTTGACTAACGTTTTTATTCCTTGAGATAAAATATTTTTTGCATAATGAACGATGAAAAATCGTGTTTATTTATATATTCTTTGTACATTGCAATATTTATATGTTTATGCGAACTATTTGTGAATTGATCTCTCGCTACATGAATTATAAATCGAGCGATTTTGTTTCATTTTCTTTTATTAATTATACAAAAAAAAGATCTAACGTTAATTATATGTTTAGCGTCAAATGTGTAACAAAGATATGATTAGTTTAAAATGTATCATTAAGATTTGAAATTAATTCTTTATAATAGAAATTAATGACTCTTTTTAAAATCCGCCGGATTTAATTAAAAAGATAGGTTTTAAATATCAACTTTGAGATATTTTTCATTTATTGAGTTGATGAATAAACGGAAAGACAATAACAGTAGATTTTTTTGTGTTGCTTGAAATCTCCCCCCAAAAAATTTTGCACTTAAAACAGTTAAAACTAGATAAATGTATAGCGTGCTTTCCAATTTTAGTGACACAAGCCGACATAAGTATTGTTTTGTCTTTACTTTGTTTTTATTTATTATATGCCAAGAAGAATAGACTAATGCTTATGTCACTTATAAAATGGAAAGCACTCATTCTTGACAGAGAGAGAGAGAGAGAGAGAGAGAGAGTGCGTGCATGCGTGCGTGCGTGCGTGCGTGTGTGTGTGTGTGAGAAAACATTTTGAGTGCAAAAAATGCAAGTAGCACGAACAGACCGTATCGCCCATCCGGTGAGAAATCTGAACACACCCCGGCCTGCGGAATTTCTAATAATTCATTACAGATTGCATGCGTCGCGAAAAATCGCATTGTATGCCGTGGAGAAGAATTAAAAGTAAATAAAAAATTAATCGAAATCGTAAGAGTAAGCTCGAATAAATACGGAAGATTACACGCGAGCTATTTTAAAGACTATAAATATATATACCGAGGGAAAAAGTATAATTGGTATCTCATGAGGCGTTCGAATGTCGCCCGCGTTGTCTCTCACATTATGACGTCAGAGACAGTCTAAATTTGCCCTTATCAATAATTATTACAATCTGACGAGCTGCGCTCTATGCAATAAATAATTTATTAAATCTGAAAAGAATTATAGCATCGCTCGAATGCTGGATATACCGTGCGCTTGCAATTCCGCATCGAATTTTAGTGGTCCGAAAATTGTAGCATGACGTGTCTTGTCAGCGTGTATCGGACGCATGCGCAGTGCTGCCTTACGTGGCATCGGCAGCAGTCGCATCGGTGGACAGTTACATCGAGTTAAATTGACGTACATTCTCCTGTACATCCTCCCGGACATTAAGATTTGTTATGATTCAGTTTAAAGCACACTTTACAATATAACGTACGTACAGTGTATACGTTAAAACAATTGTATACAGAGTTCAACGGTAGTCTCCACATGTGGTAGTCTTAGGGGAGGTTCGAAACGTTCGCATATGCATTTACTCACTTCCACTCGCTAATATTTAATGTCTTTTCGCTACCTTGCGTTCTGTTCAAACAAAAGCTCGCATTACGCGCGCAGGTGGAACGTGGTCGCGTTTCGCACCGTGTTGTAAAACAAAAATGACATTTCTCTTTATAGGTTACCTTTCACTTTTTGAAACATTTTGGAGCTTTATTTATTTTTTGTTTCATTAATTTCATCCTGTCTGTATTATGTGTATTTTATATTTATACCATGTATACTAGTAATTATAGGTAATAATTAAACCTGTACCTGTGTACATATTTATTCATTTATTTTTTATTGTGCTAAATCTCTTCATGTGCTGTTCTTATATAAGTTGAATATCTGTACACACATTAAGCGTGCACTTTCAATATGCCGTAATAAATTTTATACATGTGTGTAAATTTTGTTGCGACAGATGCAGCATATTCCAGACGTAGGAAGGCAGCATCCGTACGCTGCGTCTGTGCCTCCGATAAGCAATCAACCAGGCTATTTAAAGCAGCCGATTGTGGGAGAGCAGAGTTCACAAATGCATTCTCAGTTACTGTCGGCACCACCACTACCACCACCCATGGATCACCCTCAAATGATGAATCCTCCGCCGACAGGCGTTCCCGGTCTTCAGATACCTTCGCGTTTACCACCGGGTTTACCGCACGGACCCGGGCAAACGTCTATAGGTTATCAAGCTCACGGGACCAATCTGCCGAATGCCAGCCTACACCATCACCCATCTGGAGTACCACCGTACAACTCCGCGCCGCCGCCGTTATCGTCGCATAACTCTGCGCCGCCGTTGCCGTCGCAGAATTCCGCGCCGCCGTTGCCGTTGCAGAATTCCGCGCCACCGCTGTCGTCGCAGAATTCCGCGCCACCGCTGTCGCAAAATTTCGCGCCGCCGATGCTGTCGCATAATTCCGCGCCGCCGATGCCGTTGCATAATTCCGCGCCGCCGATGCCGTCGCATAATTCCGCGCCGCCGTTACAGCCGCAAGTTTTAGCAGCCCCAACGAATTCGGACTCGTCGCAATTCCCCCCTCCACCCCTCTTAACGACGGGACAGTCCATAGCGAGCCCTCCAGCGTCCGGCTTCTCTCAAGCACGACAGAATCAATATTTGCCTCCGACTATGCCCCCGATGCCAGGCCAGCATGCTGCGAGTCCCGCAGGGCCGGGCTTAATGCAGCCTGGACAGAGACAGTACGGCTCTCCCATGCCTCCGTTACCAGGACAGACCTTAGCCAGCCCTCTGGGGATGAATCGCGCGTCGCCTGGCATTCACACTTCGGGCTATCAGCAACCAACGTACCAACAGCCAGGATATCACAATCAGATGGTACAGTTACATATTAAAAAAAAAAAAGTCTATTTTGAAAATGATTTAAGATCTTTTGTAGACAAGAATAACGATTGTTCTTCTCTTTGCAGGACATGTACAATAATCAAAGAAGCCCATATCAAAGTAATACGCCCAATGCTACAGGATATCAGCCAGGATTGCAGCCCCCGCAAGCTAGACGACTTGATCCAGACCAAATGCCGAGTCCAGTTGAGTTCAAATTCTTGTCAATTCATCTTATATGCCAACGTAAATTTATTTATTTCAAATAAAAATCAAATCGTGTCTTTTTTTACGTAGATTCAAGTGATGCAAGATGATCAAAATATGAGAGGCGGCGTATTCGTGACGAATCAGAAAGGTCTGGTGCCGCCTTTGGTAACAACAAATTTCGTAACTCAAGATCAAGGAAATACTTCTCCCAGATACATCAGATCCACTATGTATACCGTTCCCACTACTGCTGATATTATAAAGCAGGTGAAATGAAACAGATTAAATTTTTTTATTTGGCTGCCTCGCGCTTCATGTTATAATACATTCGTATCTTACGCAGACTAATGTTCCCTTTGGACTTGTGATAAGTCCGATGGCTCGTATTGTGCAAGGAGAGTACGAACCACCAATTGTAGATATGGGTGAGGTTGGACCAGTACGTTGCGTACGTTGTAAAGCTTACATGTGTCCGTTTATGCAGTTCATTGATGCTGGCCGAAGATTTCAGTGCATGTTTTGTAAAGCAACGACAGAAGGTAACAATTACTTAAGAATTGCTTCGCAAGTATTTGCAAGTTTTTCGTTTGCATCAAATCATTTATATCTGTGTCTCCTGTGTTTAGTTCCAAATGAATATTTTCAACACTTGGACCACACGGGTCAACGCTTAGATCGTTATGAGAGACCTGAGCTGATGTTGGGTACATTCGAATATATAGCCACAAAAGATTATTGCAGGGTAATATAAATTAATCAACATTTTAGTCACTTACATAAGATCATTCAATAAAATTTTCAAATTTTGCGGTAATAATGAAATGAATTAAATCATCAATATTTTAGAAAGCAAAATAAAAATCAAGATTATTTATCTAAGCCGTTGAAATTATAAATTTATAGAATTACGCTGATTGCCGTGTGTTGATTCTTTTCACAGGACAACATTTTTCCAAAATCACCAGCCATTGTGTTCATAATCGATGTATCATACAATACAGTTAAATCGGGATTAGTAAGCTTATTGTGTACAAAGATGAAATCCATAATAAAGAATCTACCTATTGATGATGGACAAACCAAGAGCAACATGAAAGTTGGCTTTATAACGTACAACAATACCGTGCATTTTTACAACATCAATCCTTGTCTTGCTCAACCGCAAATGATGGTTGTCGGAGATATTCAAGATGTATTTATGCCACTGCTGGATGGATTTTTATGCGACATCGAGGAGAGTGAGGCGGTCATCGACAGTCTTATGACGCAGATTCCTCAAATGTTTGCTGACACTCGAGAGACAGAAACGATTCTTGCTCCTGCCATACAAGCTGGATTAGAAGCATTAAAGGTACTTAAATAAACGGCACGCTTATAAATAAAATTTAGAAAGAAGATTTAGACTTATGGATAAATTTTATTTATCGTTAGTGATTAAACGCAAGTTTAATCACGATGAGCGAAATTCATTCAGTGGAATTCAGTGAAAATATACATAATTTTGCATATGATTCCAGGCGTCCGAACGTGCTGGCAAATTATTGATATTCCATTCGTCGTTGCCAATTGCCGAAGCACCTGGGAAATTGAAAAATCGTGATGATCGTAAAGTACTTGGAACAGATAAAGAAAAAACGGTATTAGGTATGTATTTTATCAATTTTATGGCATTAGAGTAATCACGATTTGTAATTTATGTAAAATGATTTTGTTTTTCCGCAGCTCCGCAAAACACTGTCTATAATAATTTGGGTCAAGAATGTGTTGGTGCAGGTTGCAGTGTGGATTTATTTATATTTAATAATTCATATGTAGATATAGCAACAATCGGTCAAGTTTGTCGTCTCACGGGCGGAGAGATTTATAAGTACACTTATTTCCAGGTGAGCTATAACGTTATAATAAGAAATGTATATTGATACTAATTATTTTTATTAGAATATTTTATGTAAAATATATTTTTAATATATTTATCTTTATAAAACAAAAAAAATATTTAAGAATATATCCTTGAAATTTCTATTTGTAGGCTGATATCGATGGCGAAAGATTAATTTCAGATATTATTAATAATATTAGTAGACCAATTGCTTTTGATGCCGTTATGCGAGTGCGTACATCAACTGGTGTTAGAGCAACCGACTTCTACGGACATTACTTTATGTCTAATACGACCGACATGGAATTAAGCAGTATAGACTGCGATAAGGTATATTATCTTATCATGTTAAGCTAACTTAATTGCCGTAATACAATTACAAAATCACGTCGCTACAATATTAGAGAACAAACAGTTATCTGTTACTATTTAGGTGCTTTAATTTAATCTTTTTTAAATTCTTTCAAGGCTATTGGAATTGAAATTAAACACGACGACAAGCTAACGGAAGACGAAGGTGTGTACATTCAAGTGGCTTTGCTGTATACCTCCTGCGGTGGCATTAGAAGATTGCGAATCATGAACTTGGGCCTGAAAACCTCGTCGCAAATGGTTGAATTGTATCGCGCGTGCGATTTGGATGCCATCATAAATTTCTTTTCTAAGCAAAGTGAGTGAGGAGTGAGAATGTCGTATGACGATAAAAATAATGCTTTTCAAACAATAATATCTGATCGTGATCCCTTAGATGTTTTCAAATTATTGGAATCTACACCAAAAACGGTAAAAGATAACCTGATCGCACGATGCGCAAACATGCTGGCTGTATATCGAAAGCACTGTGCAACACCATCCAGTGCTGGACAGTTAATCTTACCAGAATGTATGAAATTACTTCCGCTCTATATAAATTGTTTATTGAAAAATGATGCATTAACAGGAGGTAAAGTACACTCTATATGGACTCTATATTTAGCTCTAATAATTGTATTTATATTATTTAACATTGAACTTATTTTTCTTTCAGGAGCCGATATGACCATTGATGATAGGTCTTATGTAATGCAGGCGGTTGCAATAATGCCCGTTTCTATATCAGTTGCATATACTTATCCGAGATTATTTCCTTTGCATGATGTTGATCCTGACGATACGGAACTGCCTCCAATGTTGCGTTGCTCGATCGATAAATTTACAGACGATGGCGCCTATTTACTTGGTAATTATTATAAAATTACCGTTCACAATACATACGTAATAAAAAACATTATTTTAAATAACAAATTACGCAGTTCGACAAAACATCTTGCAAATCCATAAAGAATATCATTTGTTCCCTATAGTTTCTTTTTATACTCAATACAGTTTCTAAAACACTTTGCCATACCGCAAACAATTCTAACAGTTTAGAAACTTGTGATTGTTACATATTGTTCTCTCTTTACGGACTATAAAAACGAATATTAGCATTGATAATTTATGTTTATCTTGCGTTTTATTTTGCAGAAAACACTATCCATATGTTCTTGTGGTTGGGCATGGCACTTTCTTCCCAATGGGTACAAGGTGTCTTTGGAGTATCTTCGGTGGTCCAAGTCGATACAGATCGTACACTGCCGATACTAGACACTCCTTTAAATAAGAGAATTACAAATATCATCAATCGGATACGTGGCGAAAGACATCGCTGTATAAAAGTAAATAACTTAATATAATGTAAATTATATAGTAGATTACACTAGAGCGCAATACATTTCTGCTTCTCTGTTGCAGTTAACGATAGTGAGGCAACGTGAAAAATTGGAAATGGTGCTGCGCCATTTCTTGGTTGAAGATAGAGGAACCGATGGAAGTCCTAGCTACGTCGATTTCCTATGCCACATGCACAAAGAAATAAGAACACTTCTTAGTCAATAAATAATATTTTTTAAGTACTCAGCTAGCTTGTACTCTGGCTCTTTCGCATCGATGATTTGTTCTAAATCTCATTGCCTAAAGAATTTCAAGCAAGGCTTTGTACTCGATCATTGTATTTTTGTGCATCTTAACATGCATTAAGCGTTACACAGACACATATATATACACACATACATGCACACACGGAATGGTTCACTTGTGCGTAGTAAATATTTTTACTATTTTAAATAATAGAAAAAAAAATTAAAACTACAAAGTTTTATAATTTTGAGCACTTAATGTGGTAACACTTGTTGTGCATAAGAGATTTTAAGGATAATTTATTTTTTGTTATGAAATTATTTGTTATTTATATATATATATATATATATAATATGGTTTCTCTAAATATTTTGTAGTATTTCAATACTTTTTTATAGAATATGAGATGAATCAATTGCTGTAAAAAAAAGACATTTGTTTTTGAAAAGAAGTTAATGTAATTTGTAACATGTGACTACTTACTCTTTTGAATATGATTATATATGTATTTTTTTCATTAATTGATTTATTATACTGTGCATAAAAATGTTAAGGAAAGGTAAGATAATTTAAAAATTATCTTATTTAATATTTTCCGAAATACTTTATATTTTATATTAAAATAAAGTTATATAAAATATTTTGTGAACTATTGATATTTTTAACACTTCAGATTTGACTAATAGGAATTGGCGCAGTAATTATTGCGCAATAATTTTTATAAAAGATTAATTATTGACATTTTTTTGGTCCGTTACTGTCATGCTGAATAATTAGAGAAAGTATATTATATAAGAAATTGTTGAGAATTCTATTTAAAAAAAAAATCGATCTCCATATTTCTGTGTATATTGAAAATATTGCTACTACATTACGTGCCTCTCTATAAAACTTTGCAGCTTCAATCTTTTTTCTTCGAAATAACAGATACGCAAGTGCACAAATTAAATACCATCTTGTATGTGTACATATATATCTATATATATACACAAGATATATGTGCATACATGATACGCGCATGCACGTCCGCATGTGTGTGTACGTGTGCGTGTGTGTATATGTTGGTAATGTGTTCGTGAATTTGAATAAGAGAGACAGAAAAGTACAGATGTATTCTTCAAAATTCACAATTGCTTTCTTTTGAAAAGAAAAATTGAATTACAATTACGTAATGATTTAAAGAAATTATAATATTTTAAAGTGAAATTGCTTTACAGTAAATTATGATTATAAAAAAATTAATATTTGTTAATACATCTCTGTCTTTATGTACCCGGTTTGCTATTTAAGTAACCGGTAAGGCGTAGAGCGATTATTAAAATGGTATCATTTAAAATCTTTGACGGGAAAGATTGCTTGGTAATTAAGTTTTCATTTCAATACAGAATAAAAAGAACTTGATTTGAAACTTCGAAACAAACACCTATGTACTTTTCTTCTTAATTTTCATTTTAAACTTGTTTCACCTTAGACAGACGCGCATACTGGTAAACAGACTTGATTGAAAGAACGCAACTGATCATTCCGACAGATACTGATACGTATGAAGGAATAGAAACGTTTACATTTTTCAGTCGTACAGAAAAACATAATGGAAATCTATAAAAAAAAATTGTATTACTTTATACTTTAGATCGATCATTAATGTTATTACCATATTACGTTAATAAAGTATATTAAATCATATAAATCATATGTCAATTAATACTTGTGTTAGTTTTGTTATTAATACCAGAATTAGGTGATTGTACATTAACATTATTTAAGATGAAACTGTATTTGCGAAAGGTTGAATCTTTATTTCTAACTTATACTAACCAAATGAATAAAAAAATGTGGGAGATGAATTGTAATCAATTATAACGAAATAGATAAAGGTGAAAATAATTTGTAGTAATTGAATTTATGAATTGAAATAATATTACCTAAAGAGAGATTTTTAACGCATAAAAGCAAAATAATTTCTGTAACTATTGTATTTCTCAATGATTTTAATTTTGTTTATGTATTATATACGCAAAATGTACAGGATATGTTATGGCATAACATAAATATCTTGTACATTTTGGATTGCATCGTTAGAATGCAGAATTTATATACCAAGTGATTACACATTTTGAAAATTAAGTTCTATGAAAATGATTATATTGTACGCGCGCGCACACGCACACACATACCTACATGTGAGAACAAGAATGAATTTAATCCACCACATGACAATTTGCATAAATATCTGAACTAACTTAATTTTAATAAATCGTTTAATATTAACAAATTTTGATACAAAAAATATGCAGTATATTATACAAGTTGTCCCTGAAATAAATGGACGAATTGAGGGAACGTATATATTCTTCAATTAATTTACAATTGATTTGTCTTCAGTATTTTCTCACTTTTGCCAAAAGGATCGTTCAGCTGTGCAATAGTGTGAGTCAATGTATGTAGGTCTTCACTTTCACTCTTCAGCCATTCGTGTTTATAGCACTTGATGTAATCGCATTCCGATATTTTGCGATATTAAGAAAAGTTGTTTTGTTGCCTCAGTCAGACGTCGCTACTACCGTCGGATAGACCTAAACCTCGGTTATTACATAAATGTATATAACGAATATTAATTTCGAAAGAGAATTCAAAAGTGGTAATATTTATTTGAGATCAATCGTATTGTGAAGAAAACAGGCACGTGTCATTTTGATCTACGGATTTTACATATGTTAATTGCCCAACAGGTTTTTTTATCAGTTAAGAATATATAACTTGTGCAATTTAAATACAGTCTAATTTTATAAAGACATTAGCTATGAACGAATTAAATTGCTCTTACGAGCGTTTAAAGTTCGACGAAGCCTGCGTAAATGTGATATCTGACAAAGGAAATTCTAATAAGTGGCTCTATTCGCTCTCTTCAGATTGCTTATCGGTGAGTACAAATTTGAATAAGAGAGATAGAAATTAAAGTACAAATGTATTCTTCAAAATTCACAATTGCTTTCTTTCGAAAAGAAAAATTGAATTACAATTACGTAATGATTTAAAGAGATTATAATGTTCTAAAATGAATTACTTCACAGTAAATTATGATCATAAAAAAGTTAATGTTAATACATTTCTGTCTTATACCTGGTTATGATATTTTACATATGTATAATTTTTAAAATCCAATTTACTTAACGTAACAAATAATATTTTGCAATTGATATTAAATTTTTAGTAGGATTTTATAACAGTACTAAAATTGTGTAATAAAAGAACAAAAAAAAATTTTAATAGTTCTTATTAACGAATTACAATACATGACGGAATGAAAAATTTGATAAATGGATTTTAGTAATATGGATCGCTTTTAGACAAAATATTTTAAATACAGAGAATGCGATGAAATCGATTTTTAGAAAGGAAAGCATTAGACTAATTAATAAATAATTTTTACATAGATTAACACAAAATCTATTTTTTGAACAATACATATATGCAATGAGTTTGAAGGTGCATAGAATTATCAATATATTTTTAATTTTCTGTTTAATTTTTTTAGTGTCCGTATGAACGAATAGCGCAGATTTCAAGCAATATTAATTTAAAATTCAGTACGATAAAAACATTAAAATGGAGAGTATTAAATAATAACGGAAATAAGGAATATGTATCTACTAAAAATACAAGGTAAATTTAATCATTAAATTATTTCTTATATTGTGTTTTTTTTTACACATAATTTACTAATAACTAATAAATGTAATTTAAATGTAATGTAAATTACGCTTATATGCTGTTTTAACATACTACATTTATACTTTTAACGAATTACTTCAGATAAAAATTCACAATTATTTCAAATAAGTTTCTCATTTAAAAGAGAAAAGTTTTAAATAGTTCAATTTCAGAAGTGAAACATAATGCATACAACAAATTTTTTTTGTAATATGCGATTTTTATGATTTCACGCGATTTTATTGATATTTTTTTAGATTCAATGTCATGATCTTTTTTACGCACTTTGACTTTTCTAATTGTTCTGCATATAAAAATATTTTGAAAATATATCGAAACAGCTGAAAAGATTTTATACTTTATTCTAATTTAATGTAAAAATATCTCGTAAGATATTATAATATGATTTTCAATAAATTTACATTAATATTTTTATACACAAATAATTTAAGATAAATCAATTAATGTTAAAAAAAGGTAATTAACAAAAGAATTTAAGAAAAAGCTATTTACAACATACGATATCTTACAATTATTAAATTGAAATTGTACATTTAAGTAATTTTACCAAACGCATTTATTCTGCCAATGCATTATTTTATCTCATTTTAATGTTTCTCAAATCTTATCTTTTAGCAATATTGTTTGCGAACTGACGCCAAATCTAGGGCAATATGGTTTATACGAATTGGAGGTACAAAACAACACTTGTAACTTTAGGACAACGAAAAATCCAACATATCCATACACAGGTATGTTTCTAAATATTCTTATATTCTTGTATAAATATCTTGAGATGTAAATGATCGTAGAAATAGCCACCTTTATAGAATTATACAATTTAAACAAATATAACATTCAGCAATTGATAAAGCGTATCTTACATTTAGTCGTATCTTTATCATTTTATTTATCTGTTGAACTTGATAACTGGTATAACGGATATCACATGATATCAATAATATCGAAAAGATAATTATTGTACGTGAACTCTATAATTGATCAATTAAAAAATCGATTATGATAATATAATTCTGTAGCTTAGAAATTACATTTTTGTTTTAATTTGCAAAAATGCAAAATAGAAAGACTTTTACGATACATTATTTTACTTAAAGTTAATATTAATTTAATGTTCTTATATTATATCTTTACACATGACATACAGTTGTGATTTTTTCCTTGTTTTCTTTTTATACAGACTAGTACATGACAGGCGCGCGCTGTTATTGAATCCCATACATCTTTCAATAACATTTATACCAATTTACATTTTAATTAAACAAATGTTAACAATTTTTGATAAAAAATAAATTTTCAAAAAAAATGACACTTTGCGCGCGGTGCGTATTAAACTTCATACATCGACCAATAACATTTATACCAAATTATATTTTAATTAAACAAATTTTAACAATTTTCAATAAAATGACGTTTTAATCGGCAATATTGAACCGGCCATTTTTAAATAAAATCACTATTTTTTAAAAAATAGCCACATAATTCATCTTTAAGATGAGCCCAGAAAGAAGTCTATATCTTTATTTTTCTGGAAAATATGAATTTTTAAACATTGAGGAAAAGAGGCTTCAACGCAGGTAACATGGCAATTTTAAGATAGGAAATGAACAAAATAATCATAATATTTTACTTATTGGTCGACAAAATAGTTAATTCACTAATCGAAATATTCTTTTTAATTAACCAGTAAAAGAAAATGTAAATTTTAATAAACAGAAAATCTATATAACTTTGTACATTGCAAAATACATTGATTAAAATACGTTGTTTACAGAACTTTTTATTGCTTTGGGAGTAATTGTATGTATCTTAAGTGGTATATCTGCTGGAAGATCTTTATGGTACATATTTAAAAGACGATGCGTTAAAAACGCCAAGGATGAATCGAATAATAAAATATCAACGAAACGTCGCATAAAAGCAATCGATACATTCAGAGGGTATGAATATATTATTAGATAAGTTAAAAAGTTTTACCGGTATTTTAATAACATTATCAATGACAATATCATTTCAAGCATTAATTAGTACGTATAGCCTAAGAAAAGTTACAGTTGTTTTTTAAGTGCATGTATATTTGAATTTAAGGTAATTTCGATAAAATGAGTGATGATGAATAAAAAATTATTACGCGCGTTAAAGTTTTAATCTTTTTTTAATTCAAATTTTGGCTTCAATTTTATAATATATAGGGTGGGCTAAAATACAATTAGGGCCGGTACAATTGAGAATTTTTTATAATATGCAACACAATTAATTGCTCATATGATGCCAGGGTCAGTACTCTCTTCATGATTTTTGTTAATGATGGTTCCGGTAGTTATACCATATTGGAACACACAACTTGGAATGGCATGTTACTAGGAGATCTAGTATTTCCTTGTTTTATATGGATCATGGGTGTTTGCATTCCCATAGCTTTGTCGGCGCAGTTGAAGCGCGGCGTTTCCAAGCGTCAAATCGGTTATTCTATTTTAAAGGTAATTGTTAAAAAAATATATAAAGAATTATTTCGCACGCTTAATACAATCTGCTTTCCCTCGTAGAGAAGTTTCCTACTGTTTCTGATAGGCGTTGCGCTGAATACATTAGGAACAGACGCGCAGTTGGAAAACATACGAATATTTGGAGTTCTTCAACGATTCGGAGTTACTTATCTAGTCGTTGGTCTAGTGTATCTTTGCTTTCCGCCCCAACAGTCAAAAACTCTTCAGGTATGAAAATATTATACATTTTTGCCAATCTTAAAATCATTTTATTACATTCTGCAAACGCTACGATAGTTTTCTTTCGCATCCCTTTTTATACGTGGAATGTATCAGAACAAGATTACGAACAATTATCTATCTACGAAAAGCTACAATAATACAAAAAATTTTTTTTCCTCGCAAAGATTTGCGAAATGTGAAAACTAAATTCTCATAAATACGAAAACATTTTAAAAGTAAAAGGAGAAATCTTTATTGCGAAAGAATATTTAAACGATGGAGAATATTTAAATGAGAGTTATGGCCCGCTAGTGACATAAATTATTTGTTTATTTGCAGAAATCCTCGTCAATTTGGATAATACGCGAAATGCAAGACATATTAAGTCTCTTACCACACTGGTCCGTAATGCTGATTTTAGTAATTGTACACTGCGCCTTAACGTTTAGTCTTCCAATCCCCGGATGTCCCGCGTACGTACATTGACTTTATTTTTGAACTCTATTTTTTTTTAATATTACCATTTGTTATCTAAGTAACTGCACAATGTGTGTGTGACTTTACGTATCGTATAGCGGGTATCTTGGACCAGGCGGAAGGCACGAAGATGGTGCGTATTTTAACTGTACCGGAGGTGCGGCTGGATATATTGATAGAACTGTACTGACTTTAAATCATATTTATCAAAGGCCAGCTATTAAATCTGTTTATGGATCCGGTCCTTTTGATCCGGAAGGAATTTTAGGTAACTTTTGTTGCTTCATTATTGCATTTATAGACGTATAATTATTGAAACGTATATCTTATGCATTTGATAAAATATATGCAGAACCCATAAAACCACTGAATATTCTTTTAATAATAGATATATACTTTAATCAATTCAAAATTATTTTTTTTGTAGCAAAAATGTTAAAGAAAATGCAATTGCAGTATATTTTATCTATCAGATCGATAACTAAACTTACGTGTTTATAATGAAATAAACATTACTGTTAGTTTAAATTAAAGCTATACATAATAAATATCACATATTTTTTCAGGATGTCTCACAGCAATATTTCAAGTATTTCTAGGCGTGCATACTGGTATAATTCTAATGATGTATAAAGATTGGAAAGGACGTGTCGTCAGATGGCTTTTGTGGGCAGCATTTTATGGTTGCTTGGGCTGTGCCTTTCATTTTACCAACACTATACCGGTCAATAAAAATTTGTGGTAAAGTATTAATAAAATCTATTTCTATTACTTAATTATTACTACAATTAAATAATAGATTGTACAATTTTGTATAAATACAGGATTATAAAAATGATTATAATATAATACTTTCTCTGTAAATTATAATTACGCTACAGGTCTTTGTCATTTGTATTCGTTTCAACATCTTTTGCTCTGGCTTTCCTTTCTGGCTGTTACTTGTTGATTGACGTCACTCAAGTTTGGCGAGGTGGTCCCTTCAGAATACCCGGTGAGTAACAATGCGTTCTATTTAATCGAGATAAATTAAAAAACCATTCCAACTATTAAATTAAAATAAAAATAATTTTTAATATTAATTGGATATAAAACTATAAAATTAAATTTTAAATCATATTAGCGACAAATTAAATATAGAAGTTAAAAATAAAATAATATAGAGTATGCAATTATAAAGAAAGATGCGTCTTTGAATTTTTAGTATTGTTGTATAATAAATAATTTAAATCGCATTTCTATTAATCTTTTAACATGGTCCAAATATGAATTTAGGCATGAATGCATTGGTGTTATATGTGGGTCATAATATGTGTTACCAAATCTTTCCATTCCACTGGAGGATCGGTGCCATGGACAGCCGTATTTTATGTTTAATTGAATCAATTTGGGTAGTAATTCTCTGGGCGATTATTGCATATATTATGCATCGTAAACGAACATACATCACACTCTGAATTACATCTATACGTAATGTAATTCCAATTTAGTTTACGTATAAACGATACAGACTGTTACTGTATTTATGAGATTAAAAATTATACACATGTTAAAGATAAATAATTACACATAAGACAATAATGCAGGAACATGTTTACAATAAAGCAAAACTTAAATTTAATTAATAATAAACTATTAATTCAATAATACGTACGTTTCCTATATAAAAATGACCTGTATAAAATCCTATATAAAATTGACCACATTGTACTTTCGAGGATAATTAGATAGTTTTTATTAGCATTATCAATTTTATAAATAATTTATTTTACAACTTGGATAAGTAATACAGTGATAGAGTCAGGTAACAAGATTAACAAATATACGCATGTATACACATATGTACGTTTACACATTTATTTTTAAATTATGATTAATATTCTTAAAATGAGTGTTATTACAATTTCTATAACGATCCAATCGTCTCAAATAAACAAACCACGTGCTCGTGCTCACATAATGTAATATATAATTATATAATTGCGCCATGTCGACGACAAATAGCCAATCTCCTAATAAGACCGTTTAAGTTTTTTTCCTTAGGAAATTGATTAAAGGATCTTGAAAAATTAATGTTCATTGTAGTTAATTGAAATTTTAAAGGAAATTAATTATTTAAAAATTATTACATAAGACGCAAATATTCAACATCTTTATATATAATAATAATAATAATAATAATTAAAAACAAAATCCAATACATTTTTATATTGTCGAAAAAATTGTACGTAAGGTAAAATCTTATTCAACAAAAGCTTTCGATATTGAAATCTAAATAATTTATTAGCGATTTGCACCTCACTTCGAAGAAAATCTTTGCTTAATTTTTCGTCGATGGATCGGCAAGCGGCGATGTAAGTATTATGGATTATTGTAAACAAAATAGAAAAAAAGCGCACTAAATAATTCGACTCTGTCTAAGCAGAATATCATCAATCCTCTCTCAGTAATCAGTTGTACCTGAAAAATAAGAAATTACATTTTTTTAAGAGCAGTTTTTATATTGTCGACATACAAAAGAAAAAAAAACAAAATTAAAAAAGTATATACATATTGTATATAGATAATGTATATTTTATTTAAATATAAGATTTAAGAATTTTGTGTGTGTGTGTGTGTGTGTGTGTGTAAAAGTGAGTAAGCGTATGTATGTGTATGTATGTGTGTATACACATTTATACATATACACACATGTAGGTATATTTCGGTTATATCAATCTTTATCGCTACTCCTTTCTCTTATAATTTTTTTACTTCGTACATTTATATAAAATTGAATATTAATACTATTGCAAAAATTACTGTATTTGGTATATGTAAACTTCATCAAACTATTTCTTTCTTGTCACGTTATTTGTCCGTCTCTTGAATCTATTTTCATATATAGCTTTATTTAATCATTTAAGTGTTTCTTAATCGGTATTAGTTACAACATGCATAAAGCAATCAAGCGTTGATATCTAACACTTTTAGGTTTTCTGCGAAATACAAAAAAATAGAAGAGAGAGATAGAGAAAGAGCAAACAAGAGAAAAAAAATGAGGGAAAAGATTACATGCGTCTATAATCAAGTTAGCCATAAGAAGTACAAAAAAAAGAGAAAATAACAGTCAAATCTCCGTATTCTTAACACTTTTTGCGTCCTCTTCTCTTCTTTCCTCGCCTGCAACTTTATATTTCTCACGTAAAACATGTGACCGTATGCGAAGTGAGAAAATCGCGAGCAAAAAAAAAGATATGCGTATCTATGTCAATTATTGTGTCAATATTTTTTACATTACGCATACATTATTTTGAAGTAAGAATGGGTTTAAAAAGAAGTGCTAAAAATAGGACAATCGATCGCGATATGTTACAAATATAGAGGTTCAACTGTATAATAAATGACAAAAAAAAAACGAAAGAAAGGAAAGCGGGAAATCTGGAGAAGAAATCAAGAATGATACACGAATATATGGAAACGATATGTACCGATGGAAAAAAAAATCACGTAGCCCGTAGAGCGCCTTGGGCATATGCTCAGCCCTGTCTTGTGAAGAGAATCGAGAAAAAAATATGTCCGTGGATCGTGGAGAGCGGTCGCTCGCACCGGCCTCATTCTGCCCTAGGGCCATCAGCAATAAGTTGGTTTTTAAGTGTTCGCACAAGGACGTTGGGATAGGAGGAATCACCGCGACGTCGAGAGTATCGTTTAGTTCTTGTCGATTTCCCGCGCCAGCAGGGCTTGCGGCACGCTTTTCGTGCTCTTGATTCTCGGGCACAATACGTTCACCTTGTAGGTCCAGAAAGGCATCTTACTGTTGAGGATCTTGAAGGCTAGAGAAGGCATAACGTCGTGCTCGGCAGCGTGTGGGCTGGGTAAATTCGTGCTCCGCCAAGTCAGATAATACGAATTGTCTATCGAAGGAACATCCGGCTGATGGAGCTTGGAGTCTGGCAGATTCACGATGTTTCCGTTCGTCGTCGCGTCGTGAAACTTTCGACAGGACTGCTCGTGAATCGGCGAGTACTCGGGGGATGTTAAACCGCTGGAGTAGTTCGAGCAGTAACTGTCGTCGTAGTTGAACGCGTTCGTCCTGAGCGGCAGGCTGAGATATTCCTTCCTGGAGCAGGGCTCTGTCCCGGCCGTGCAGTCGGACACCGTGGAATCGTCGTTCAGAAGCCGAAAGAGTCGCGAGTGCGTCTGCGTTCGTTGGTACTTCTTTCGGCTCTTCGTGACGGTGCACTCCGAGTCCGTGTCGATCTCGCGGCACTCCGCGTCGATCTCGGATATCATCCGGCTTATGTCGGAGGTGACTCCGCTGTCCTCGTCGTCGGTGTCCTCGCGAGAGTCTTGGACGCTCAGCAGGTCTTTCATCTCCGCCTGACAGTGTTCCGGGTCGACGCATCGATCGTCATTGTTATCGGCAATTGCGCAACAGTCCTGCTGGTCCGTTTGATTCGTATTGACCGCCTGAAGTGTTTCGAAGTTTTGCGTCCAGGAACTCTCGGACGCGACGGGTTCGAAATTATTACGAACAGATTCTGGATCTTGAATACAATTTTCATTATTCATCGAGCCCTCTCTATCGACTTCCGTAGCCAACTCGGAAGCGATACAGTCATCGGCATTCTTCGGCGCTGATTCCACAGAGTTTATTTCGTGGCATCCCGTTTCCGTAGCTGAGAGTTCCGTGTTCTGTTCCTCGCAGTCAGCTCCGCTGACGTTCGTTCTTTCTTGATCTTTCTTGAAAGTGAAATCCACGTGCGGTACCGCGGTCTCGATACTCGCCTCATTTCCTGCGCTCGCGTCCGACACGTGTCTCTTCACGGTGAAATTCACGCTGGTGTCGTTGCCGATGTGGAAATTCGCGCTAACATCGTCGTCCGCGTCGCTCCTCGCGGGACATCCGCCGCAGGATCTCTCCGCCTTTATCTTACTGTTGCCCACCGTCACGGTGGTGATGTCCTCGTTATCCTCGGACACGGAGAACTTGAACTTCAGGGGCAAACTCACGCTGACCATCGTGGCCTCGGCGTCGTCGGGCGGATCGTCGGTCATCTCGATGGAAGCCTCGCTCCGTCCGTCGATCTTCTTCTTACTCTCGCGACTCTCGGAACTCAATCGTTCCACGTCCTCGTGAATTACACTCAACTGATGAGGACCGACGTCGGTTACCGGGCTCTCTTGATCGCGCTGCTCCGCATTCGACGCGCGATTGCCTACGGAATTCGTCTTACCGGGACAAGAATCGAGATTGCTTTGATTATCGGCACAGTCCTCGTCGTTGCATCCCCTCGACGCGACGCACGTGAAGTCCTGTTTTAACGTTTCGCAAGAATTTCGGCCGTTTGAAAAATCGTTCCTCTCAGGAAGTACCTCGTCACCGCGAGCGCTACCCTCGGAATCGTTTTGCGAACGTCTACATGACTCGTCGGCGCTGACCGAGCGTTCCGAATAAGCAGCGAGATCGGGATTTTCATCGAGAGAGACATTTCTCTTCGGTATCTCGTAAGGGTTCGAACCCATGGAATAACCTTCGTACGAATCCGAATCGCTGTTGGACAATGTATTATTGGAAGTGGTATCGTTACGGTATTTCCGGCAGGAAAAGTGCTCGTTGTCGGAGATAGACTCGCTGGAGTCACTAGCAGAATCGCTATTGGACTCGCTGCAATCGCTGGATTCGCTGGAATCGCTGGTGTCTATGTACGTGTAATTGGGCATACTGATATGCAGGCCGAATGTTTTTTTCGACTTCTCGATGTTATTAGACATCGCAGTTTGATCGTCCCGACAGTCCCTGTCCGACGCGCCGTCCTCCTCGTCGACTATGTTCATCGCCGTCTTGACGCAATTTTTGTCACTGTTGCCGTAGTTCTCGCGGTCACTTTTCGAATTGCACGTCCCACTCGACTGTGCGTCCAGGTGATTGATCTCGTCGGGCAAGGTGTTTCTTGATTCATTCACCGAGTCGTCTTGCGCGAAATATCTGTCGTTCTGAGCGGGAGACGAATGGACAACAAATGGAGTAGCGACGTCGCGTAAATTGTGAACGTAATAATCGCCGTTATTCGCGTCAACGTGCGATCGTCGTTGAACGTCGTTGTAACCCGCTTGAGGGCAGAACACGGCAACGTAGCCGTACTGGCCCGCGGGAGAATCCTGGTCTTTCATCCGTGCCGCGTCCGCCAAGCTCTCGTCGTAAATCGGATAAAAAAATTCATACCCCACGCACGCGTTTTCGTCTGGATATCGTGGGTAAGGAAAGGAGCGCACGTCCGCTTCGTTCGCGGACGTGTTGGATGGAGCGTTATATTGCACGGGATAATAGCTCCACCAACCGTCGGAATGCGACCAGAAGGAAACGGGTCGAGGGGAGAAGAATGCGTCTTGCTGATTGCCCGGCAAGTTATTCTCTGTTCGACAGGTGTAATCTGCTTGACGATTTTCTTGTGTGGCTACAACAAAACAGCACAATCCATTCAGAAGAGAGTTAAAATTCTTTACACACGGAGCGTAAGACAGAGCCGTGCGTGTCGTCTCTATTTCTCTGCCTGAAATTTCCATCTCTTAATCGCACGTCGCACTGCATCATGATCTACGAAAACGAACTTTGTAAATAGAAACTTGCCTGGAAAGTCTAATTTTTCATCCGCGCTGTCAACTATATTTCGCTTTCCCCTTTTCCTTATACCATGTACATACGCCTAGCTGATTTTATTCTCGGTAAAGTTGGTTTATTAATACGGAATTAAGCGAAATTATTTAGCTAAGAAAATGAGAAAACTTATTTATCCTGTGTTCAAAGGAAAACATTAAATGTCTTAACGATCTATAAGTTAAGTGTCGTAGCGAATTATTGTGACAAATTTCGACATTTATTTAGTTCAACATTTATTTAATTAACTTGAGAAATGACAACTGTTTGAAAATAAATTTCAACAAGGTAGTGTATATGTAAAACAGATCGAGGCTAATAATTGTTACAAGAGAAAAGTAGTTTTCTTTTAGCGTGTGTGAAATTAGCTAATCAGAATTATGGAATTTTAATTGGGGTGCTAACTTTACACACGCTTTCTTTTACATATTCTTTATAATAACGAAGAACAGAATTACATAAAAAATATGACATTATCAAAAAAGCATTGCTTTAATAATTCGATTATTTTCAAGTTATCTGTTATATTTAGATGGGTTTTATTTTTTTATAACTTGAAGTTGAATAAAATCATGTCAGATTAACTATCGGACATCCATCACTATTGCTATTATGGTACAAATAAAAATATAAGGTAAATTTATTAAACGTAATTTTTTATATTCTACTTCTCACTTCTCCGCTTTTCTCTCTCTCTCTTTCTCTCTCTCTCTCTCTCTCTCTCTCTCTCTCTCTCTCCCCTTCTCCCCCTCTCTGTCTCTCTATCTCTATTTGGCCATAAAAACCATAAAAGTTTATTCAATAATTTAATTTTACTAAAATTAAATACGCGTTTATTACTTTATTTGCTAAATGATAAATTGAATATAATATGTTTCAGTGGTCTCAATGTTTATCTAAATTTTTACTTTTTTTTCTTTTTATGGAGCAATTTTCAAAGATTAAGTATTTTTTGCACGTCTAAATTAGAAAACAGTTCTTTGTGTGTATATGAGTGTGTCATGTATGTGTATGTGTGCGTACGTACGTGCATGTATATGTGTGTAGATACATATTATTAATTTATTACATATATATAATATGAATATATCAGTAGCCAAAAAAATTTTATTCCTGTGAACACAGGATTGGGAAATTTGAGAGCGATGTGACGTATGTTATGTCAATAAAGTAGTCATTAGAATATAAAGCACTTATTACGTTATATTAATGTACACAGATAAATAAGCTTCTACAATTAATTTATGAACAAGGACTGTGTATGTCATACAAAAATAAATTATTAATTTGTATATAAATGTTAAGTATCACGTAAGAAGGTTATAAAATAACGGAAAATATTCTTTAAAGATTGAAACTTTAAATCTTTCATACGTAAAAATGCAAAAAGAACTATTTAAGATGATATTCGTAATATTTTTTAAAGATTCCGATAAGCAAGATAACTTTTGTAAGAATGTTTGAATGAAACATATTTACCATCATTTTCTGATGCTGTCATCGCCTGTAATATCCTGAAGGATCGAGAAGGAATTGCACTACCCGTGTATTTCTTCGGTTCTGGTGCTTGTTGTTCGCTAGGCGGCAAATTCGCTTGTGTCTCCTCTGTATAAAAATCATCACAAGCTAAATTTATTATATTTTAATTTTAATTTTAAATATATACTATATACATATATTTCAATTATTTTAATTGAATTTAGAGAGCAAAACTTTGTTTTGCAGTTACACGTACTTACCGAACGACTTAGAATTCCTATTTTGCCGCTTATTTGCAACGTTCTGTACATTATGTGGCACTGTAACATATAAAATAAAAATGTTGTTTGTATATTTGCCATCTAATCTTTGTTATTTTGATATTTACATTTTATTAATTCAAGAAACGAGAGATTGCGATATATTATTATACTCTTAATAAAATTCAGTATCAATGAAAGTAAAGAGACTTTTAGGTAAACATCTTTTGTATAAAACAATCTTACCAGTGCAATTTACCGAAGGATCATTCGACTCCGTCATATTTTGTAAAAATCGGAAAGCTCGTGAAGGTATTGCCGCACCACGATATCTTGGATCTTTCTCTTGATGAAGATAAGTCTCTTGATCGACTATAAAAACAAATAATATAATATTTATAGTTTAGAATTTTCAAGTGATGATTTAATTTAAAAAGTTAAATCAGTTATTCTTTTCAAAATTTTCAAAATAATTAACATTACATTATATTAATAATAATTAACAGAAAATGTTAATTGTGTGTCACAACCGTATATTTGATAAATATATATATTTCTATGCATATTATAAATATATCATAGACACATAAATAATATTATTCTACCTTGTTCTTTAAATTTATTCATGAGTACTTTTTCGTCTTCACTTAATTCCATTCTACGTATTTGCTCTGAACCAACATCATTGAGTTCGTCCGTGTCCGTTATTTTTTGGAGGACACGAAATGATCGCGACTGAATCGGACCAGGCTCGTGTTGTTGGCTGAGATCGAGACTTCGTTGTTGCACACTGTTCCAAGAATTTCACTTATAGTTAATAATTGAAATAAAATTACAAACGTAACAAATAAATGCCGACAAATTCATTAAAAATTTTTCGAAACACGATCTCTTTGAAATTATTTTTTAGATTAATATTTTATATGTATAAACTTTAATGTACCTATCTTACGATAATTTTAATATTAATTGTTTGTTAATTGATTTACAGAGAGATTACCAAGATACGCAAATCACAATTATTGCTTATTAATTACAAAATTTTGAATTAATTCAATTTAGCTTAACGCTTATTTAAATGTAATTACATTTATTTTTAACTTTATTTTCAACTCACACTCTTGGTGGTTTTCCGATCTTGATATTATTTTCCACATTTGCCGGCATCGTTCTCTTCTCGCTACCTTCCACTACGAGAGGGATGATGTAAGTCGTTCCAGTCGATTGTTCCGGCCGAGTTGGGGATGTGACATGAATCTGAGACTGCTTTTGATCTCGCGGATGATTCTGTGGCTGACCTTCGAATGTCTGCTGCGCGGGCACTTGACCCCATCGTTGCTGATGATGCATAGTGGCAGGCTGTTTAAACTGATGATGACCGGAGTCACGCTTCACATCGAATACCGATGGTCTGTCTTCGATCTAAAGAATATCGTAACATTAAGAAAATAAAAGCGACCTATCTTCGTTAGTAAGCGAGAAATTAACGACTTCGATCAACTTACTCGGACGGGTATAACGCGTTCGTGCGACTGCGAATTCGTTAAATTGGTATTCTGCCTTTGCTTCTGCTGCTGCTGTGGCTGCTGCTGCTGCGGTTGTTGCGGTTTCATTTGTTGACCCTGCGGCATCGAATATGGTTTTTGCTCTTGCTTTTGATTCGCTTGCGGAAACGATTGCTGGACTTGAACGTAAGTCGGGGAAACTGCGTTCTCGAACGAATCATCGCCAATCGTTTTATTGGCGCTCGTGCGTTTAGCCCATTCGGGCAATTCTTCCTGGGGCTTGCTCTTATTTTGCATCCAAGGTGTAGGAGCCTTGGCTAAAGTGACCTGAGTTGGGGTACCCGGACTTTCAGGAGTGCTCGACTGACTGGACGTGACGGTGACCGGTGCTACTTTCGTGTCTATCTTCACAACGTTCCTCGCTGGCTCGGTTTGTCTATCAACAGCTAAGAAAGAAAAATTCAAACGTTTTTTCTCTCCATTACAATTTCACTAGATTATAATGGAGATAAGAAATATATAATATTACCAATCATTTACAACTCAAAATTCATCATGACTTTGATATTTTTGTTTAAAGATTTTTGACACTAATTGTCGTCCGGAATAGATTATTAAAATGTTATCTAATAATTATGATGTACTTTATATAAAGTGTTTTATAAAAATTATATAGTGTTATCTAATAACATATTGCAATATACTTTATACGTAACAATTTTTGAATGAAGGAAACGGGATAATAGATATAAATGAATAATTACCGTTCGACAATGTTCTATTGACTGAAGGTGATTGTGACATCCTATTAACATGAGGCTGAGGGGGTGGTATGTTGGTAGGAAAAACAGGCACCGCGACCTGAGGCATGAAGAGATTTGCTGCGGGAGAGACTGCAGGCGACTGCTTTGGCTCGAGAGCGGATTTCGGTGGACCCTCTATACCCTCGTCATTGGCATTTTTCGCCACTCTTCTCGCCATTCGCGGACTACGAATCTGCGAGAGATCCAATTTGCCACCCATACCCGGGGTATAAGTAAAGGGTTTCTTATCCTTCGTCAGCATGGCATTCTGGATGGCTGCTGGCGGCTCGTAAACATCGTTGCTAACTACCTGCGGCCTTCTTGCTGCGTTCTATGTGCCGCGAATTGAAAAGTCATCAAATAAGTTATTATTAGCTAATTAGACAATAATAATTACTAATGTTGGACTAAATTTTTACTGTTAACGTACCAAGTACATTAAAATGTAATATTTTTTCTACAATATAACGGAAAATATTTAATTATGAAAATTTATTATTATTAATCTTTACAGAAAAATTTTTTAAAGAATAACGGGTAAAAGTTCTTTTAAATTAAATATATTTAATTTTTAATAAAATAAAGTACGTGATCGTGGCATAAAGAGTTGTGCGTCTGCTCTTTATGCCGAAAATCTGGGTTTAAATCTAACCGCATCAATAACAAAACGAAAATATCTGATTTTATTTGATCGCCACCTCTCAGAAAAGCTGGTAATAGCAAATTACCGAGAGTATTTTGCTTTGTGTGCGCATACCTTCTAAACAAAATCAATTGATTCCCCTATTAACACGCACTGGCCAGCGTACGTGATAAGAAAAATGGCTAAAATCCTTTAATCTTTGTAATTTGTCACTGAAGATGGCTAAGAAAGATAACCGAAACATCTGACGTACTTTAGAATAAAGTAAATATTATGTAAATTAAATATTTCGTATCAATAACCACGCTGATTCCCATTTGCCTTACTTACTTATTGTATTTTTAATTCGGGGAATCTTGTTAGAATTTTGTTTATTGATAGTATATGTGTCTGTACATTATTTTCCATCATTCCTGATGTTTAAGGAAAATAAAATACAGTTACATACACTAAATTTTAACTCTTCAGGGTTTAGAAAAAATGTAACAGAATATTTTGGAATTGTATTCAATTAAAGAAAATTTAAATAATTAAGTTCCTTTTTGTATTTGAAAAAAAAAATGATTTTTGTAGAATTACGTTTAACAAATGTAAAAATCTATCCTTTGCTACATCTCCATGATTTAGTTCATCTTACCTCAGCAGTATTTATCCTCATAGCTGGTAAGTGACCAGTTACGGGAGGTGGAGGAGGGGGCGGTGGAGGTGGCCCTGAAATCATGTTATGACTAATACAATATTATACATAAAAAAGATAATTAATTGACTAACGCTGGCTCTAATGTACTAAAATGTAATTTTATTATTTATTAATATCATTGTTAAGTGAAGACGATTATTTATCATTTGTAAGTATGATACTTTTAACTCTGATATAAAAAATTCATATTTATTTCTTTTGATCACAGAAAGAAGTATGACATGTATACATACCTGCAACCATGACATTCGGATTCCTGTAAATAAAAATCAAACAATTTATTAATCTGGATAAGGTAATTAAATAACCTATTTTTTAACTGTAAGCATATAATAAAGGCAACTTTAGTAATTCTTGAATAAATAGAGATAATCAAATATTTTATAAAATAGCTTCTTTCTAGACAGAATCAATATATTTTTATTGACACAATTTATTTCACACACATAAAAACTTATATTTTTTAATTATTTAACATAATTTTAATATATTTACTTTATGGAAATTAGAAATATTATTTAAATCATTTTACAGTAAATATTATATGCAATAAAATTTCTCTTTTTCATATTAGCTGTGACACAAACTACTCTAATGTAATTTTGCTGTAATAATTGAAATAAATTAGTTGGCACATTCGCGCTTAAACCAATTTAATATGTAATACGCACAATGCCGCACTATACATTTAAATAAAATAAGAATTGTTTTCTCGCGATAAATTGTTTTCTCGAAAATATACACATTTGGAATGGAAGAATTAATCCAGTCTTCTTCGTTTGCATGAGATATTGCTATCTTATCACTGGAATGCAACTACTTCAAAGATGAATCATCTCTTGTGTGTATTCATACTTTGCGCACGTACGAACATTCACGTTTATATTTAACGTACGTGTATATAAATTGAATATGCAATTTAATTATTTATTAGCGTTTATAAATATACAAATTGTAATAATTAATTAAACTTGGAAGTTCACAAAAAATCTCTAATTTAATATTTTATCAATTCGTTAATTTGCATAGTAATGGCCAAGATTCATCAGCGCTTTCAACAACAGGCACACGTGAAAAAACTATCGCGACAACACAAAAAATACTTAATTAGTCCCTTTTTTCTGTCGATCAAAAACTACGTGTAAAACTCCGACGAAAGGTGATTAAAGTCTTTTAGAGTAACACGGTCAGACATCTCCTTAAAAGGATTAAATAACATTGACCGCGGGAATCACACGCTTTGCGATTGGAAGATATCTTGCAGTTGTGTAAATGTAGATCATACATCATCGATATAATATTATTGTCGAAAAACTAAGAAAAAATCTACAAAAAATTCCATTCGCATCATGTAAAAAAGAGAAAAAGAGAGCGAATTGAATGTATGAATAAAAATGGATAATTTTGAACTTATTTATCTAAGCTCGAAATTATGTATACACATTTTGGCGACTTATTTTTAAATCTTGGACGCAATATGATTTATATGTAAAATCTCATATTAATTTTTAAAGTAATAAACCCTTATAAAGAAGAAAAATAAAATTAATGCAATAATGATTGAAAATGTATACATGAACAACGCGGTAATGAAACATGCGTAAATTTTATATATGTTAATTTTTATATACGTAAATTTATCAATAAGATATTCGATAAAGAACCTACAGTATAAAATTTAAATTATAAAGTACTGAAAGTGAATATTACGTAGAATGCATTAATTTCATTGATAGTTATCATATGACATATAGACATATACAAATAATCCATTCACGAATCAAGCAAGACTCTTCTCTAGCAATGAATAGAAGAAGCTGAAAATTTTAATAATAGAATTTTGGAGTCAAGTCTAATACTGTGTCGGAGCACAGGCGTTTTTATCTTGGCACGACCGTTACAGCACGTGACTCTCACTTTCAGCAGATTCACGGATCGTTCGTTGAAAAAGGCAGTGCCTCTCGTGGAAAATTTGCCAGCTTCTTCTACGTTACTTTGGCATAAATAAACTATTCACGATATGCTACATACAAGTCTCGCTTTTATCGGCACCGATGACTAACATGATCGCTACAAATAAATGTTCGTTTCTAATTTTTAATTTTAGCCACCGTGAAATTCATGAGATCTCTCAGCAACTCTCCCTGCTCTAATTTAATAAATATGAAAATTTTTTCAACATTTTTCCAAATTTGTATATCGCTTGTAAAAATCTCTTTATAGGGAAGCAGATTTGGCTGGAAATATCTTTCTTGTTCTTTTCCGCTTTTATGTTATCACAAACTATTCAAAGTATCATTTGCTTGGTAAGCGCAAGTTTCTCGGAAAAGTTCGGTCATGGCGAATCAAATCGGTTATGCTGATGGCGGCCACGCCGTAACGCTCGGAACCCAGCCAATGAGCCGCGGCAAGTGGAAATGTATTTAGGTAGATACACGAGCGAGAGTAATTTTAGCGCGGGCTGACTTGCGCAGCGGCGACTCACATATTAAACACTCTTCCAATCATTTTATTTTTAGGATTTCTAACACCGCGGCAAATATGCGATAAATGTGCGATCACCTCACAATCGATCGTATCGAATGACGGGACCTTTCGAATTCAACTTGGAGGGACGAAAATTCGGGGGCTTTAAAAATTTACTTGTATAAAAATTTAACCGCTATACTGTTCGTAATGTAAAAAGAATATTCATTATAAGTATCTGTAGTCCAATCGAAACGATTTTCCTCATTCGAAAGGGAAATGTTTATTTTACTGATTGTAAAATGTGCCGCCGAAGTGCGCGCGAGGCGCATTGCGCCCGACCGAGCGCAAAAATGCGCCGACTTGCGAAAAAGCTGCGCTTCAAGTGAAATCTTTCTCGTCGAACGAGCATCACTCCTCTCTGGACGAGTGAAATATGTGTTCTCCTTGGAACACAACGGCAAGGCCGATTTGGCCTTGCGACGCTCGACCCAATACGACGACGATCGAAAAAACGAGTTCCATCTCTCCTTTTCACGAGGTCTGTCTGTCTTTGTCGATTTTCATGTGAGTATGTGTGTCGATAAAGTATGTAAAATAATTGTCAACTTTTAATGAGATATTCATTCTAAGATTTTTAATTACAATTATAATTATAAGACCATAATTCAATTATAATTATAACTCCAATATGTATCGGTGAAATCGAAGGTAATTGAACGGTAATTCAAATCGAGAGTAAATCGGAGCCCGATTAAGCCTAATTCTAATTGCAAGACATCGACAAGTTATAGTAGTCCGGTTTACTCCCGATAATTTTTTTCTCTTTTTCATTTTTTTTTTTTTTTGGTATGTGATTGAGAACATTTTGTCTTCTTTTCTAATGTATATTCGTTCTTATTGGTACAAAATGCGCCACGATTATATTTTTATTTCTATATCGATTTGAGAAGAATATAAGTAGAGTACCGGGCAACTCGCAGAGCCGCGCAGGTTTCAACAACGCGATTCGCAATTCGGAAGAAACGATGAAATCTTACCCGACAAACGTCGAAGAGTTCATATCCAGGATAATTTCGTAATTCACTGACTGTTGATTCCGTACGCTGGCTTACGCCGCTACTCACTATAGCCGAGAGAGAAAGAGAGAGAGAGAGAGAGAAAGGGAAAGCGAAAGAGAGAGAGAGAGGGGGAGAAAAAGAGAGAGAGAGAGAAACCGGTTCTCTATGCTACTTTTGGGTTTCTAAAAGTTGGAGGAGAAGGCGGATATTAAAAAGGGATACGAGCAGCACCGATGCCGACACTAGCGCGCGCCCGCAGCTACTACAACAGACCGTCCTCGCTTCGAATCGCTTTGGTGCTCAGACCTCGTCGTGACTTTACAGACTGGCACGCAGAGCTGACGACGATGTGACTCCACGGTCTTACATCTTTACCGATTTGATCGCCGCATTGCGTTGCTCTCGCGCTGGGTCTGGTCACCGCGCGCGCCTCGCGCCGGCCGTCTTTCGCCGCGCTCGCCGTCCGCCGTCCGCTGCTCGCCAAAATAGCTCGTGTCTATTTTAAGATCCCGATATATACGAAACAACGTAATTCCTATTATTCGCGATATCAGTCAAGTGTATATATATATATATATCTCGAATAATCCAAAGTCGCTTATTGTTACTGATTCACCGCAAAAAGATCATTGTACTTTATATGTGTTTATATTAAAAATTGTAGAGAGTATAAAACTGTTTCCTAAGAAAGGCATGTAAATTCAGTTTGGAATTGCACTTATAAAATCCGATTTAAACTCTTTCCGCGATACGCTTGACTTTCACTGCGCATTATTCCATGGTTTCTTTTTACAGGTTTCTTACAGCTTTCATGGATTATACTTTTTTTTATGTATTCCGAATACAAAATATCAGAACCAAAATAACTCCTGAATCATATGAAATTATTCTGTACCTTAAATGTTTTTAGGTGAATAAGAAATGGGGATGGGCAGGTTTGTACGAAAAATTTAAAATTTTAAACAAAGCTTTCAAATTTTAAATATTTCGCAAGCATTATCAAGTTCTTACGATTCTTACGTTTCTATTAATTACGACAGACTCTATTAAATGTTCTATCGAAATAATTACGGCAATAGCGATATTTAAATTCATATCACCTTACGATGCAATGTCTCAGCAAATTATAACATAGTAAACGATTACATTGCATCAACAAGAATACGTTTAATTACAAATATCAAGTCATGTGTACTCGAATAAACCCTAAGTACTATAAACTAGATAACAAAGGTGTAATGCTGATATTCTCAAGTACAATGAAAATGCTCAAGTAGAGTATTCCGAGAAATTTTCAATTGGAGGTAAAGGATAACTGGATATGTAATGATAAAAGGAAACGATAATGATGCCTGGCGAAAATTTTTCTTAGAATTCTTCATATAATTTTTCAGAATTTCTATATAAATTTCAGAATTCCTGTACAGGTTTATAACTTTTTAAAAAATTTCTTAAATTTTTTAAATACAAATTTCAAAAATGCAGAAAAAATCTACATCTTTTCTAAAATTCTTTCTAAAAGTGAATCAATGGAATCATTATCAATTTTCAGTGTATATTATTTTCTGATATACTTTGAACTGTGACAAAGTAATGACTCTATTTCAATGTTATTTCAGTGATAATATACTGATTCAAACATGGAATATCGTTGAAAGACAGGGAGTTTCACTGTAAAACAGTTTTGAGAACTGAAATTTACTGTCTTTCAGTAATATTTACTGTTTGAATCAATGTATTATCACTGAAACAACATTGAAATAAGCACTGCTTATCACAGTTCTAAGACTTCTAAGTATGCCACTGGAAATTGATGTACACTGAAAATCAATGATAATTCCACTAATTCACTTTTAGAGAGTATGTGAATTCTAAAATATTTTAAGATTTTTTATTCTATAATTTTCAAAAACTTATAAAATTCAAAAGAGTTCAAGGTATTCTTCAGAAGTCTTTATAATTTTAAAATATGAAAAATTCTTAAAAATATTATAAGATATTACGAGAATTTCTTTTTCACCAGGGAACAAACGCCTATATAATTTAGCGCTGATCATGGGCAGCAGCTACGAGCTCGTCAAACGCCGCTTCGTGTTCCGAAGTGGTGAACATGTACGCCGGCAGAGTTAATCTAAGGACCTTGTCGTATTTGGGTCTCGTCTCCGATGTGTAATCATACGGCTCGGCCTCCTTCGTTTCCTCGGCCGCCGTGTGCGACGACGACGACGCCTCGTCGGGATAATCGTTGTCCGGCTTCTCCAGTCTAACGTAAGAATTTTTGCTGGCGGACGCGCTGGGCTCCACGGAGTCCGCCGCCTTCGTGCTCGTCGAGCTCGTCGACGGCTTGATGTCGCGGACACGCGGCGGCGCGGTGTCCACTTGAAATTCTTTCGTCTCGTGAAACACGAGCTGTTCCTTGTCGGGCTCGTGGCCGGTGACAAAGGCGCATTCCTCCTTCTGGAAGCCCTCCTCGTCGACGCACTGGTAGCAGGTCATCTTGTCGCGCATGATCTTCTTGCACTTCGATCGGTCCTCCTTCCGAAACTTCTGCATAAACTCCTCGATCTCGGCCTTCTTTTTTACGGTGTCCAAATATCCGACGTCCACTCCCAGCTTCTTCCCCTCCGCATCGTCAGTCCTGGACGTTGTCTCGTCCGTCGTCGAAGCTTCGTAAACCTGTCCCGACGGCGCGTATTCGTCGTAAGACTTCTTCACGATCTCGGAACTTTCCGGCGAGCGCTCGTCTTCGTTCGACGAATCCGTTTGCTCGGACTTGTCATTCTGCCGATTGCCGAACGTCCGGGATTTACTGTAAGAATAGAGCTTGTCGCTGGGCTGGTACGAGTACGAGCACCGCTCGAAGTCGTTGCCCGTTTGCGGATCCTTGCAAACCTTGCACGTCATTGAATCCTTCTGCACCGTTTTGCAATTGTCCGCGCTGATACTTTCGGAGTAACTCTCCGAAGTGGGTTTTGAGGAAGATGTCGTTTGGCCGTCGTAAGATTCAGAATCGCTATTGTGTGATGGGAATTTGTAATCGCTCGATCTTTCGGAACTGGAGTAGTCGCTGCTGTAGTCGGGTGAACCGTGAGACGTACCGTCGGAATCATTCGGGTCTTGAGCTTTCACGACTTCGTCGGAGCTCCGTGGATAAGTAGAGATTTCCGATTTATCTGTAATATCAGTCTGTATGATATAACAAAGTATAACAAAATATAATCGATACACTCTCTAAGAAAAATGCCAGAGAATGGCACTCATTCCTTTCGAGATTTAGTTGTAACACAATATACTTTATTTTGAAATAAAAAAATTCCAATACATCGAATAGTGTAGCTGTAATAATTATAATTCTCAATTTCTTAACACTAAATGATAAAAAGATCTGGAGAATTTTTAACTCGGTACTAAAATAACTATACGAGACATTATTAAAGGATAAATGAATTATTTGTTGAATTATATAATTACGAATTAACATCGTGAAATGTGTGCTTACCTAAATAATCGCGCGAATCGGAACTTTGCGGATAATCAAAATCCTTCGATTTCTCCGATGTTTGATTCGTGTTTAAGTCCCGAGTGGAATCCGAGACCTTATCCGGATATCCGAAGCTTTTCGATCTGCTGTATTTATACAACTTATCGCTGGGTTGATAATTGTAAGTGCATTTCTCGTAAGTACCGCCTGTCTTAGAGTCCTTGCACACCGTGCACGTCTTGGAATCCCTTTGCACCTGTTTACAATCTGCTGAAGGAGCATCCTTTACCTCATCCCGTTCGTTCGCCGTTGACGTCTTCTCGGAATAATCCTCGCTCGGATAGGAATATTCACGAGACTCTACATTGCCAGGACTACGATCTTTTTGCCGATCAGACGCTTCGAAATCAGAGACTTCGGAATGAGACGTCAACTCGGGACGTTCTTCGCCGTCGTTCTCCCGGGGTTTGCCAAACGAGCTGGATTTAACGTATGAGTACTCTTTCTCATGCGGCTGCTTTACATACGAGCACTGCTCGTATTTGCCATTGGTTTTAAGATCCTTGCACACCATGCACACCATAGAATCTTTTACGACCTTATCGCATTTCTCTCCCTTGTTTTCGTATGCAGCCGGTACGTCACGGCTGGCGTCGGTGAAGTATTCATCAGTGAATCGGTAAGGATTTCGTGGTCTTCCGTAATTATCTGTGCTTCTTTCAAAATTGGATCTACGATGGTAAATAATAGTAATGATATCATAGCATGTACATATGTGATAATGAAAAAATTATCTAACGTGCACAAATTTTATTTTAGTTTGCGTAACTATGTGATATCATTGAAACTTTTAGAAAAAATAGATTTAAATAAAAAAACTGTATATTTCTTATATTAATATTTCAAATTATTTTCTACTTTTTAAATCTATTTTTGTATATAATTATTGTTCTGATCAATTTCTACGCGAGTGAATTATTTTCAAAAGTTATTAACCGTCCTACTCTCTAAAAATTTGAATCAGTGCATAATCACTGATTATCAATGGTTATATTCATTGAATGCATCAGTCCCAAGTATTTCACTGGTAATCAGTAAAATTATAGTTATTTGATTATATTATTTTTGAACTTTTTCAATTATAAAAAGAGCAATTTTCTCGCGTTCCACAACTGTGCATACACATCTTTATTTTATCCTCTTAAAAAATTTACAATTAGTTTCGAATGGGTTTTGAATAATATTTTTCGAGCCGTCATATACCATAAATATAAAACAAATTTTAAAATTATTAAAACTGTTTCCTCAAATTTAAAGTGCAAATATTAAGCTTTAATAATCTTTCAATAAATTGTCGAGCATAACATGTCTACTGTGATGTTCGAAGAATATTTTAATATTTACTACCTTCGATGTCTGAAGCCAGTAGGCACGGACAGGTAACGTTCCATATTCGTATTAGCGGATGCGCTCTCTTCCGGAAGACTGCTGTATAAACAACGCTTGTATGTGGATTTAGTTTTTGGATCCTTGCAATTGTAGCAAGTCGTAATGCCTTTTCTCGGTTCGCCATTCCTCCCGGTCGATTTCACCTTGATCTCCTGACAGTGCGCAATTCCCAAGTCGGGAGTCAATTCCTTGTACCTTGTGGAATCTTTATTAGTGAACGTATAAAACGGAATCTTTTTCAAGTTTTTCTCTTCGACGGGCTCTTTCTTAACAACAATCGGAAAAGGTTTAGATGGGCTTCCGAAACGATCTACAGTTCGATTTATGCGCAATCCAAAATTATAATCAGGCAGAATCTCGGAAGGAGCACTCTCGTAAACTTCATACTGTTTATTCCAAGGATGCGATATGCTCTCTGGATTCCAATTTTTCAAACGTTCGTAATTTGCACTCACGTGACAAGTAATTAGTGCTGACAGCATTAAATATATCTGCATGTGTGTAAGAAAATATTTATTTCAAATAGCAATAAAAATTTTAGCGGCAATTAAACAAATTTATAGATATATTTGTATGATATCAAGCTGTTTAAATTTAAAAAAAAACTTAAAAAATTATTTTATTAATTTTTAATTTTTTCAATTAGAAAGCTACTAAAAATTGAATGTTAAATTTTTGAAAAATAAAAAATTAAAGTATAACGTAGTTTATTGTAAAATAGCGCCTCTTAAAATACGATTTACGTTAATAATGTTTAAAAAAAAAATTATAAAGAACTCAAAACATTTCTTATTGCTAAACAAAAATAAATATGAGTTTCAAGCATCTAAAAAAATACAATTGCACTGTACATATAACGAAAGAAATATTGTTACATAAATATACAATTAATTAAATACGATATCAAATAAATATCTAAACATTTCTCTTTCACTGACCTTGCAACAAGCCATTTTCGAAGACCACCGATCGTTTTCTACGAAACTCCAGCGAATGGATTCGTATTTCCGATTCCAATAGGATAACCACAATCTACATCACTTTCTCATCAAGTGATCGCGTCTTCGTGTAAAATGCCTTTATATTGACTCGTGGTAAATAACAGATATTTCCTACCTAGCATAAATCTTTATTCTTTTGTTAGAAAAATTCGCGAACCGTGACGTGCTCCAATCGGAGTGATCGAAACAATCGGCCGATTACCTAAACTACTTTTGCTTTTATTTACGTAACCCGGCTTGAACGCTTACGACGAAAACCAGTGAAAATAATGAGATTATGGGACATGTACAAATTACATTGATGAAGAAAGAAAGATAGAACAATGACTTTTACTTAATACTAAATCGACAATCGCAGCCGTTCGTTTTAATTTACATTGTATTCTAAATTTTGATAATACGAAATGTCTTATAATATAATAAAATTATAGTTTTGTTCTGTATAATAATTTACATTAATAAATTAAACATATATAAATAATTATTATTAATTGATTATTTTGCTTAAGAATGAAACGACGGATTTGTCAGCAATATCAAATAATAAATATATTAAACATAAATGACATTCTTGAAATTGTAAACAAAATATAGTAAAGAAACGTAAAAGCATTATCAAAATCGATGTTAATTAAATGAATTGCTCTCTATTTACGCTCAAGAAGCAAAACTATATACAATGTGAAAGTATTCGAGGATCAATGACCGCCGCGTATCATTGTAAATATTTCCGTTCCAGTGCAATAGTTTGTCAAAAAATATATATATCTCACACACCCTCGTAAGATATTATATACAAACTGTTTTCTTTGCAACAGATCTTAAATTAAAAATAACGATAAAATTTTTATTTACTGTATATTTAATATTTATTAAGATTTTGTCGCTATTTTTAATAGTCTCGAAGAAAAAAAAATTAAATGAGATATGCTGCATATTCATTTATTAACATTTTTGTAATAATATAGAAACATTTAAAAAAGTGTAGTATTGTATATCTCTTTTTAAAATGTATGCGTTATTTACTTAAAAACGTTGTCTAATTCAATATTATGTAATTAATGACAATTAATATTAAATTATTTTTATATAACAATGCATAATATTTTGCAGATAGAACATAAAAGCAAATAATCAATTTTTACATTATTGTGACTTATAAGTGACAAATAAAATCGTAATAATCGTCCTTATAGTATCATATAACTTCATAACGTTATCATTATGACTTTTATGTTCTACCTGTATAATTTATCGGTGTAAATGAAACACAATTCCTCAAAAATTTGTATAAATACATACAATTTTAAAAACTTTATGTCACGAAGATAATTAAAAATTATCTAATTTTAATTTTGCACAATATTTTATTAATTAATAATGCTCTTATAACAAAACAATATTGTCCGAACAAGACTAACTTTTGACAAATACACAAATACACAACCATAATGCGATTAATTCACCTTAAACTCTACATATTGACCTTTGTGATAAATTCTAAACATTAAAAGTGATTGAAAAAGAGAAAAAACTTTGAAAAATACACAGGAATTAATCGAGAATTGATTTGCGAGTCCGTAATACGATTGAAGGATTATCGTTGAAAATTCGGGTTTACTCTTTAAAAGGAAAATGTCGCGGATAAACAGAAATGTGTGAAACACGCGGCGTGTGATGACCAAGTTGTTTGCTAAAAACTGCGTCAGTAGGCGCGGGCTTCATTCGAAGTTTCGATGCGATTTTCTGCATGATGATCTTGTCGTTCTCAACCTCTTTAATCGTCCTTTTGTCGTTCTGCTTTCCTTTCTGAGACATGCCGCGTTTACGATAATAAAGTACCTCACCGGCCAACGTGAGCATCGCCAATGCTAGTCCAAACAAGGTCGCAATAAATACTCCTCCTATAAAAATATTAATTAGATATAAGGGAAAAAAAGTATTTAAATATATTAACATTATAATAACAAATTGAAACATTGTTATACAATTACAATTGTTTTAATTGTAATAACAATGCAATAATTAAAGCAATAATTTTAATTGTATTTAAATATGTCTTCTTTACAACATATTATATTTATATAAGATCTAATTATTAATTAATTATCTAATTTGGATAAAAAGTAAAAAACAAACCCAAGCTCTCTAACGTAATTCCCTCATTGTCATCGGAATTCGGACATAGGGTTTTCAAAGTCTGATTCCAATACTTGGCTGCTAATGTCTCGAAATATCTATCTTTCTGTAAATCGAGTATCCTAAAAATAATATTTATGTCAGACATTTGTCGCATAGTTCACGATCACATGAAAATAATATTATACTTATACTTCATTTATTCCGCATAATTCATTCCCTCTCAATTTAATTTATTAACTAAACTGTACACGAAAAAAATGTTTTGCTCTGTTATAGATTCTTACTGCACTATATATTCTCTGTGCTAACATTATATTTGCAATTGCATAAAAACATGTGCGAATTAAAAATATTCAATAGTAGTGAGACACACTTTCAAAATACAGCACACAGCTACAATGCTAATTGATAATTGAAAGTAGTTAATTGGAAAGACGAATGAATTAAACGTAACAGAAAAGTGAAGAAAAAATTGATCAAAGACTTTCTGCTTATTTCCTCCTGCAAATGACTGCCTTGCTGCACGGCAATAGCGTACGGTTGCTCGGCAAACACTTCGCCCACTTCCGTTAAATTGCAATTTCTTGTTACTTCGTACTTTATCTCCGACGAATCATGAATGAACGCAAACTCGGCATTTTCACTTTCTATCACCTGAAGAGTATCGATGCATTTCAATTAAATATTTACTGCTGCACCTCAGAATGTCTCGAGAATTTTCTTTTTCTCTTTTCTTTTTCTTTTTATGTACCTTCCTGAAACCTTCTTCGGTAGTCTTGACCGGTCCGACTTGAGTAATGGCTTGCAGAATATGACCATATTGTTCCTTTATGGGATAATCCCAGACACGGTATTCGACTTGATCGCTGGTGCTATTTAGCGTAATTTCTTTCCATACTCTACAAGCAAGTAACATAAAATATGCATAATATTTGCCGGTAACCTTTGCCGGTCTAGTTCATAAGAAAATGATGTTTGTACGCACGTATAAAGCTTATCCTCGGCATTTTTCATGTTTCTGAAATACTGATGAGCACTAGAATTAGCCAGAACGGTATAATTTATGCGCGATTGCCTTGCCAATTGCTCCAATGATTGCACAGGTGACTACAGGTAATGAAATATACACGAATATTAACGTAGAAGAAACGATACTTATTATTATATATTAACTATCATTATACTTATAATAATATTAATCGTCTTGTGGAAGATTAATATTTTTAGAAATATCTTACACTTTCCAAATTAAATAAAAGAACAAAATCTCCAATGAATATGACAATAAAAGCGACATACCTGCATTCTTTCGACAGTAAGGAAAGCAGCTAAATTTGCGGTAAAAGTCGCGAGCATCAGTACTACGAATAGCCAATAAGCTGCAACCAGAGTCCTGCTCGATAACGCTTTCGGAGCTTCGCCGCCACCCTGTGGCGTAAAAGATGTCAATGCGAACCAAAAGCTCTCTTTCAATGTGAATTCTCTGAAAAGTAAAATCTGTCTGTTAAACATACAATCAAAGGGAGAAGAAAGTTTCGGATATATTGAAAGTCAAATTGCTAAATACAAAACGCTAAAATACGACAAAATTTAATATACGAAATAGTTATATGTATAGTATGTAATCTGTAATGTACAATATATAACAGAACACTCGAGGAAAAATAAAAATCTCATGAGATACGTACCGACAAGGATAGGGGTAAAGTCTTTTATTGTTTCTTGCACTGTATGGTGAATATTTGTCTAATATCCAAATCATAATACCCGTCAAAGTTAACGCTCCCACGATACTGAGCCAGACTTCAAGCCTCAGTACCGTCATGAATTTAAATAAGGATGCTTTACGGACTGGCTTTCTCATTACTTGAAAATAAAAACTAACATAAATTTTCCGTTTCATATTCAATTATCTATACGTGCATCCTGAGCTAAAATCTGCCTTAAATTGGGCTTGTACTATAAAGTGAAAAAAAAAAAGATAAAAGAATAGAATAAGAATCGAAATGAATTATTGAAAGAAGAACGTAAACGTGTTAAAACGCCATACGATTTTATTTGCAGATAGTTATTTAAACTTATTTACATAAAATAGAACACATAGCATAAAAAATCTAAATTGCATACCGATTAGTATACCGGATTGTTCGAAATAGGGTGCAACGAAATCGATGACTTCTTCTCGTTCCGATGTCATTGTTAATGCTGCTACAGCAATATCAGTTTCCTATTAATAAATAAATGTACTTGCTATAGTCAGAAAATATTATTAAGTTACTTTAACTCTTAAAACTTTCTTCAGATTTACGTAGTTTTATAATGTTGATATTACATTGTAACGATGTTGTGAAATAAGCCATTAGATTAATATAATATTTAAATTTAATATTTTTTAAGTCATTAAATACAAATTTAGTTTTAAAATCAACAAAGTTTTGAAATAACGAAATTGATAATTAATTATTTAAAAAAATATTGTTAATTTTAATAGTATAATGCATTAAACTGTGATAAAAATAATAAAAATTGTTAGCAATTCCAACTAAAACTGATAATTTATACTTTGTACTTGTAGTGATGCTTACATAATAACGTAATAAAATAAAAGAAAATAAAACAAAAATGTCATTCTATCATCAATTTGAACCAAATTTGACAATATAAAATAATTAATTGCAACAGTAGATTAAAAGTGACATTGATATCAAAGGAAAACATGCGTATTAAATGCAAACAGATCAAGTAAGACATACTCCTCTAGCCAGATCACCTATCAGACCGGTCCATTCACCATTAGGCAATTTTTTCCCAAACTCAGCATCTTCGGGAATAACAAGATCGTAATCGAACTGCATCTCCTCGGATAATTTTTGCACAAAATCTATACAATAACCTTCCCAGATTGCCTTTCCGTCCTCATTACGTATTTCTTGGCCGGTCACTGGGTCCTTTTTAGTTACAGACCATGGAACCGCCTATCAATCAGATTAATCAAAACAATATTAGGTCAACTTTTGCTATATTTGTATTTATTTATTGGTATTAACAAAATCGCTAAAACGCTAATATGATTATGGAAAATGTAAATATAAATAATATCCATATAAATAAAGTTACAAATTAATTTACGTACGATTCAAAGAATAACTAAATGCGCTAAATTAATTTTGGTAATTATTTTTAATAATATCAGACTTATAATAGTACACTTAATTATCGTTTAACGTTACGAAATACTTACTTCGAAAATAATTATTTCATAATTATTTGTTGTCTAAGTGTAATGTTGTTTCTTCGTTTAAGTATAATAGAACGCGACGAAACAAAGCTTTCGCGAAATACGGTTCTTACCGGTGCCGTTCCAATCCGGAAGAATCGCCTGGCTGGTTCTATTTTCTTCCCGTCGGCTTCTTTAATTTTTGTACGTCTCGTCCAAGTTGCGAGCATATCTGGAAAGCCGCGATTGACCACTTGTAACTCGATCTCCGCCTTGTAAGTGATCATCGACTTCTCCGACCAATATTCGAAAGTGTCGTTGCTGTCCAACCTCTAGAACGCGGAAAAGTGAACTCATTTAAGCGTACACTTAAATTATCTTTGCGTTTTAAACGAAAATTTCTTGATATAAACGTCATATATGATTTAAATAAAAACTCCATTTTCTTAATAGATTTTACTTTGATAATACTTACTTTCATTAAAAAAGAGTTGAATCTCTCCACTGTAGCGTTCGAAGCTGAAGTGGCATTAACGGGTTTATCACACTGACCTGTTTTTGGAGCTACGCTTGCACCATCCTTTTGAACGTCGACCATCAAACTTACAATCAAGCCGATCAAACGTTTGAAGTAATATGGAAATATCTAATATAAAACACAATTTCTTAATCAAACTTGTTTTATAGACGATAAACGCGCTTATTCGAAATTAATATTTTTCTTACTAAGTCCTTTTTAATAAAAGAAAATGTGAAAGAAACTCTCTTTTTAATTATCTGCTTTAAAAGAAGAAACTTTAAAAAAAACTGTTTTTAATATTTATATATTAATATTACATTAATGGTGGCTTTTGGATTTATTACAGATAACAAGTTCTTTTGTACAAGACAGTATAGATTTGTAGACGGATTCTAAAAATTTTTGTCTTATTAAAACCGACCTTAAAATTTGCAGGGCAGGTGCAGGACGCGTCGCCCATTAAACGACAACAAATGTCAGTCTTCATAGTGAGAACGGTGAATGAAACGTTTAATTGGACTTCACCCTTAATATATCGAGAATCTTGATAATTATTGTCTGTAAATACTAAATTCCAAATACCCTCTCTTTTAACGAGTCCTCCTCCAATGGCCTAAAAGATTGTTTCTACTTTAACTGTATATAATGCTTAGACACACTCTATATAATCTTAAAGATTTCAACGTTCAATTAGCTTGTCATGTATATATTAAAGTAACAAAAGTAAATGTCCCGATGCAAATGTATCGCTCACCGTTTTAAACAGTTCATCCATTTTTGCTGTACTAGCATAGATAACGTAGTAAGATGGTGACGGTCGCATACTTCGTATTTTCATTACAGTTCTTTCTGTCAATTCATCGATGACCACCAGTCTAATTATCGAATTTCCGATAAGATAATAAAGGCTCTGATTTAGTTCTAAAATCATTATTACATTTGATTTGTAATTAATATTAAAAACTATCATACAAATAGTGCTACATTTATTTTTTTTTATTTTAATTAACTTTAACAATTTAATAACAAATTATATGTCCCGATTTCTCAAAGAAAGAAGGTAATTATTTTTGATTTTTTATACTAACTTTTTGAAAATTTACAAGAAAAAATACTGTATGCGACGCATAGAGTACAATAAAAAATAAGTTGTGCACAAAATGTTCATCGTGTAATATCAGCGTAAATATAATGACAGACTGCTAATCTTTGCGCACCTCTTTCGTCTTCAAAGATCAAACCGACGTCCGTTGCGTTTTTCATAATCAAAAGATCATCAATCGCCTGAATGTACGGACTTATACTACAGTCGCCACGTTTATATATTATTCCTCTTTCGTCCGCGACATTTCGTAGCCTGTCCCAACCAGTCCACGTCATATCCAATATGATACTTATCCCTTTATATAGAACGGCACAGACTGTCAGGAAAAATTGAAGAAGATGTTTCATTTGTACAACCCAAATGTTGTTATGAAAGATTACTTTAGTTCTAAGTGTAATAAGAGCGATAAAGAAACCTGGATGTAAGCGGCAGTAACATCTTGGAAGTGAAAAGTAAAAATCGGATATAACGATCTTCTCTAATATAATCGGATATAACGAAATACACGAAAAATATACCTTTCTCGAAACTTGCGTCTACGTTCTCGCGATCTACTGTAACGGTGGAAATGTGAACGGTGATAATATCGTTAGCAAAATTCCGTTCTGCCTCTGGGACCGCATCGTTTAATATACTCAAAATAGACGAATCGGATTCCTCTATCACGACCACTTGGAAATAAAAAAGAAATATCAGACTCATCACTCAGATCGGGTCATTATTACTGTATTATTGTAATTTATTATATTTGTTTAATTATATTCATAGAGACTGTATTATTTAAATTTGTTATTTCTCATTAAATAGATGTATTTTGTATATCTAAGCATTCATTAGTGATTAGTTTAACGTTAAAAGTAAAAATTAGATATATTATCTAATATTGAGAATGGAGATCTTATTAAACATAATACTGACAGTCGTATTATTGCTAATAGTTAAAAAAAGAAAAAAGAGAAAAGACGTCGCACTTGTATGTACTCTACGGCGACTAAACTTCGTATTATACTTACCCAAATCCATTGCCGTTTGACAAAGCACAAATGGCAGGAAGAAAGTGAGAATCAATACGGACGACGTTCTCGTTGACATAGCGAAGTTGATTAAAATCGCACAAACGAACGAGGGATACTCTTTAGTCTCGTTTCGGGCGGCAGGTGCCAGAACAATATGATATGAACGACATGGCGCAATAAAGTGACGATGGTCACGCCTGCGCCGATGCCAGTGGCACGACGGCATTGCTTATGAATATTATATACATCGGTAACCGTCGAATCTCTCATGAATCCCTTTTTCCTGCCCAGCACGACTATCGGCCGTCGGACCATCGATTTATTGTGCGATAAAGTCGCGTGTACAATTCTGCGCCAGGATCGCTGCGTGTTGGAGAACGAAAGCGACAGTTTCATCATTCATATACGCCCCTTACGAGTCGCTGGGGATCGATTGTGTATATCTTAAAACGAGGTGAAAATTACAAAAATGAGCAAATTCGCTAGATATTCACTGAATAATAAAATTAAAAGTATTCTATAAGTAAATTTGCTTATTTTTGTAATTTTCACCTTATTCCAAGATACACAATTGAGGGCCGCCTGCACTACTTTGGATGGATAACTAGTAATTTCACTTCCCAACAATACCATAAATGAAAATTTCATATATCTGTTGCTACCTAATATTTTTGTATCCCTTCAGTCTTTTTCGTTTTGTGTTATTACAAATGATAATGTTAAAAATAATATTAATCCAATTTAAGCAATTGAGTATAATTACTGCCTGCTGAATATTGATTGTCCTCGTTTATTATAAATCGATATCATTATCAGCGTATTGCATCAGCGACAACAATTAAAAAAGTAGCGAAGATTGACAGCCAAAATATCGGTAATTGATATAAAGTTAAAATTAATTTATTGACGCGATATAAGAGTAGATAGTATTTAGAAGTATTTTAAACATTGAAAATAATATTCAAAATTAAATAGTGCTGTAATTAATTGTTTTCAAATTGTAGACAATAATAAAGTAATGTAATATTATATAAACGTGAAGTTAGAAACAATATAATAAGTAAATTCTATGTTAAGTAATAGTAATGTTACTATTTATTAAATATTACATAATGTGACTAATAAAAACTAAATTTAATAAAGTGAAACTTAATTCTAAAGTTATATAATTTTTTAAATAAAAGACTTATTTCTATATTAAAGTATATCTTATTTTCCATATTTGCTAATGCAATTGTCAATGATTCAAATATTACAAGTTATCACGTTTTAGAATTTTTGCTTTGTTTTGCTGAAAAAATAATTGAAGAAAATCGGTAAAATGCATCATCAAAGTTATCGAAATCGTGTACGATATAGCTCAATTATATTCTAATTAGTGCGATGATTAACGTGCATTTAACTACAGTAAAAAAATATTATCTTTCATACCGTATGTGTTATTAAACCAGATAAATTATTAAACGTAAACATATTATTAGTTATTAAGTATCTATTTGTCTGCTAAAGTCTTTAACAACCATTAAATAATAAAACGACATTATTAAGCTTCCATAACATTGTCCACTACGACAAAATGATCGATACGCATATTATTGATTCACTGTATAATACATATGTCGTATACATCGTTACTGCAGGTAATCGTAAATTGCTCGCTGAAAATTCTCCAAGCATCTAATCGATAATACGCTACGCTACATTGATATTCTAGAAGATAGCATGGGAGAAATATGAATTTTTTATAACGCTTTCCACTTCGTCATAACGTGCGTTACATTCTGTAAAAATAAAAATGGTCATAATTTATTAAAGAGTAAATATATTTACTAAAAAATTCACAGGTGATAATTCAAGTTTTATCGGATTCCTTTTTGTGTATAAATATGTGT